GTAACGTCGAATTGTTACTTCAAACCGTGATTCTGCCAGAGTTAGAAATATCCCAGATGCAGCACAGCAACACTACTCCATAAAATTGTTATGTCTTCAAATATTTTAATAGCGATTCAGTTGTTATTTACATGTTAAAACATTTTATCATTATTTTATCGTATCTTGTTCACAGCGACTTTCAGCAAAAACTCAAATGAGTTGAAACCATAAGCTTGTATTAAACATGTACTACAACCCCAAATACGCAACATGAATTAAGACTTTTTTTGTAAAAAATGAATCGTCCATAAAAAAAGTGATCGGAAAAAGATCGCTGTACACCGATCTCCAAGAGTTAGAAATACTCGATTCACAATAACAAGCGTTGAGAGACGATTTTCACCTACCTCGTGTAAGACCAAACTGGGTCAATCAAAGCTAAACAACGTCTTACTTATCAGGGCATCTTCGATTATAACCCTTTTTGTCAGGATACACTCGTGACAGTTCTTTATTATCTTATTTTAAATCTAAGATCAAACATGAATTTTCAATAGTTTTTAACTGTTCTCCTGTTTCTAATTTTTTTATGTAGTCTTTACTCTTTTAACATGTGTAGTTTTCAATTAATTGTGCTTAGCGTTCTAAACATTAGTTGATCTAAGCATATGCATAGTGCTACTAAACAGCACCATCATTATATTACATATTAGTAAAATCCAACTAGTGGTCTGTTATCAATGTTGCGTTCTGATTGGTTGAGCTACTACTAGGCTATATGTTATAGCCCACTATAGTAGCGAAAAGCGCCGGCTTTTTGACGGCAAAAAAGGATTTAAGTCTAGCTAAAATGGTTTTGTCTCGATATTTTTGACCAACTAGTTGGATTTCACTAAAACAATTATTCCTCTCGTCCTCATGGCCTCTGGAACAATAGCCCATTCGGCCTGCGGCCCCATGGCTATTGACTTAGAGCCCATTCGGGCTCGAGGAATATAATTGTTAAGTATTCATCGTTAACCCTGCGACGTACACGTAATGTCATACCCCCACAGTGGTACAAGGGGGGAGTGATGGAACCCTTGTCTAGAGTTTTTGATATGTTGCAGTATGTCGAAAGGATTTTGCTTTCAGTTGAAAGTCTTCTCAACAAGGTGAGGTATATTTTATCGGTGGTGGTGCTACTGGAGACCTGTGACGTCACCAAACATGGTCGTCAGCTTGGATTTTACCAAGAATTGGAAATCAGGTTAAAACTGTGGGAACTGGCAATTTTTTGTGCTTGACATGTAAAATAACAAATAACTAAGTACTTTGCATCCGTTTATCCACAAGCTTACTTTAATTGTTGAAAGAAGATGAAAAAACATGCATTTTCACTCAATTATGGCTTGGTCTCCTGCTACTTATGACGTCATATCAGTAACCATAGTAACTGGCCATCACCAAACTTATCTCAAAATGCGCGCAAGGGATAAACGAGTTCGAACAGCTACTGAAAACGTCAGGTGTCCGTCAGGTGCTGATGTTTAATTGTCTACATAGAGAAAAACTTCTGAGGAGGGGTGGCAACCGCCATCACTGTACGTCCCAGGGTTAATGTACTTTATGTTTTACATTATTGGTAGCCTTGGCTTCCATCCAGTCTTCACTTTTCTCTTAGCAGAATGATTGATGTCAGCGTAAACTGTTGAAGCGCATGCTCTGTGAACTTTCCCGTTTTTGTTGTTCGGTAAGTGGCTCATGTCTGCATACATGAGGTGGCCACTGGAGTAAGGGAGAGGTTTCTGTGTGAAAATAATAATAATAATAATAATAATAATAATAATAATAATAATAATAATAATAATAATAATAATAACAATGGTAATGAAATAATCAAAAGCAAAAACAACACAGGGAAGGAAGAGACGGTGCAAAATCCTTGCAAAATGAGAATGAATATTGATTTCTTTATTCATTGGTCAATGACCGGACCATGTTAACGTTGTGCACTGTCAAGTCCGCAAAAACATATAGCAAAGGATATAGAATATCAGCAACTCCACAGCGATAAACCAATGAGTACATGCACACTGGACGAAAAATTGAATTTAATGATATTTGCCTTAAAGACAAATCTAAGACAAATCTGATGTCAGATTTGTCCACCCATCAAATGTCCCAAATGTGAGACAAATCTGTTATCACATTTGTCTTGTGGAAATGTGAGACAAATGTGATTCAAATATGCCATTATATTTGCCCTTGTACAAAGATATCTTAAAACAAGACAAATACGAGAAAAATAACTTTTTGACTTCTCGTTCCAGTAAAATCGCTATATGATTTTCTGAATTGTTTAGAAACAAGGCTATTGTTTGTCTCATTAATTAATTAATTAATTAATTTGGTTGTTTTTGGCGCAATGGGTAACCCTTGTCAAGTACTCGTAGATGCATGTAGGTGTAGATATGTAGAAATTGCAATAAGGGATTTTCTGGCTAGCTATTATTGCGCCTTACTCACACTGGATCAATGCTCCGATCAACTTACCGTACTTTATACGCTGATTAAAACGTTTACAGAGGCTCGTTATATCGAAGTTCCACTGTATTCAAGTCAAGTCAAGTCAAGTCAACTTTATCTAGGCAGAGTGGCCCTATCAGCCGTTGGCTGGTATCAATAGGGGCCCTGCGTAAATTACGACTACACGATAAAAATTTAAAAATTAAAAATTACTTTAAGTGAAGTGAATAAAAGGGAAATTACCGTCTCTTCATAAAAATGACAATTTGTTTACATCCATGAATTAAAAAGGAGTCTTTTGAAGTTTTAGCGTATGCTAGGAAGTTACCTTGCGTTGCAAGTGTGAGGCTCACTAGCCTTTTTTATTACCAAGATTGAAAAGTTGGATTAGATGTAAAAGGAAAGAATTCCTCCTCCCTTTGACTCCTTAAATTTGATGAGTTGTCAGTGTTTTGATCATTATGCTGTGACACTAAAAATATGAAAGTTCAACTCTAGTCAAAAGACCAAAATTATTCAGCCATATGGCAGAGTCTTATTTGCACTACCACCCTACACTATAGGGTCTAAACCACATCACCATATACACCGCTAGACATAATGAAGGACCAAGGGACTAGAACTTGAAATGTTCTTCGTTATTTCGGAGTCCCACTGTACAATCACCGAACTCTTTATGTCATGTTTAAGCAATAACAAATATAAGATAAATAAGTAAATAAGTAAATAAGTACCGTGACAATTTTGAAAACTATAACTTTTTTTAATAATAATAGTCAATGCGCTGATTTTAATAAGATAAGGTTCTGATCCATGAGGCGAGATATAAATCTATTGCTGTTAATTTTCCGTACCAATTTCCCGGTAAAAAGACCTAACTATAGAAAAAAAAATAATAATAATAATACAGTGAAACCTCCATTGAGCGGACACCTTCGGGACCTTCCCAAGCGTCCTCTTAATAGAGGGTGTCCGCTTAACACGGTTTGTAAAAATTGCGCAATGTTTAACTTTCAACGGTTACTCTGTACTGTGATAAAGTTCCATGTTGTTAAGGAAGCTAAGGAAGCCGTGCTGTACGTTGTGCAAGACTCTCGGTATAATGTACAGTTTATCGACAGCCAAATGTTGTATTGACTTACTTTTATTAATCGACTACAGCACGTTTTTCAAGGACGTAATCCAGTACTACTATTGTTAATTCGGTCCGCTGTCCGCTTAATAGAGGTTATTAACAATAAAAATTAGCCAAATACAATTTATTTTAGTGTCCGCGTCCGCTTAATAGAAGTGTCCGCTGAATAGGGGTTCGTTATAAAGGGGAATTTAAGACGTAATTAAAATTTCGGGACCCGGTTTAGTGTCCGCTGAATAGAGGGTGTCCGCTTTATTGGGGGTTCGCCTAATAGAGGTTTCACTATAACAATAATTATAGTAAATATCAGTATTACGCGAAATCCATTCCAGAATTTATGCTTAAGTCCAGATAAGTGCTGCTGATAAGTACACCCTATTCTCTAATCCGTTCATCTTGATCGTCTTTTTGAATGAACGCGCGCGCGAATGCGCGAAAAGTACTCGCGTTACGTCAGCGATAGAACGCCAATCAAATGTCCACAGCTACACGCGCGGTATGTTTGATCACCATTTTGACAGCGTCTTCAGTTCATTTCGAAAAGTTGTTTGTCAGCTTGGCCCTTAGTTTTCGTTGTCTTTAGACTCGTATTTTATGGTTCAATCATGGCTACAAGCAGTCCTGCTGAAGAAAGACAACTTTTCCTGATGGAAAACACGAACAGGAGACTAGATTCTATTTTAGAGAGCCAGAAGAAACTGAAAGAAGCAAACGCAGCAGTTCAGCAAGATAACGTAACTCGCAAAACAGGAGCGACTAAATAACAGCAAACGCGGCTCAAAACTGTCACGCAGAGAATCTAAAGGAGAAGTTGCAATGGATTTAAGGGTAGGTTTACTTTCTTGTTGCTTTGATGATATAAGAAATGCTTTTGATCGTGAGAGTTTGTGCTTATTCTTTGGAGCTGAACAGTTTACTGATAGCGTGTCTTCAAAGGCGCCGACTTGCCTGCGTTGTATCAAACATCACAGGAACCTACAACTTAGCTTAAAGCGCCCAATTTTTGAGGGACAATCAGTGTAAAATGGGGTTGACAGGCCTACACGACTCCCCAGCGCGTGTTTAAAATAGCCTTTCTATAGTTTGGCTCTCACGAGTATGTCTTTGAGCGACCGCCCTCTTTTATAAGATACGAGGGGCGGTTTTTTGTAGATTTCGCTCAGTAATGGTTGTTGTTCTATTAAATGCCAGTTTTTCATGAGAATTTGCTTTAGGTTTGGCACTGATGGTTGGTATTGTGTGACAAAAGGCAAGATTCGTTGGTTTGTCTTTGGTTTCTGTTGAAGGGCTAGTTTCCTGTCTTTGAAGTTCACCTCTGAGAGGGTTGTGTTAATAAGATCCTCTGGGTAACCCCTCTGTAGCAGATGCGCTTTGAAATTTGTAATTTTCTCTTCGAATATTAGTTCGGAAGAGTTTGTTCTGAGGAGTCGGAGGGCTTCCCTTTAATGAAGCCTTTTTAACTCCTTGCGGGTGACAGGAAGCAAAATGGGTATACTGAAATGTCTCAGTTGGTTTGAAATGAGTACGCACATCAAGGATTGCGTCTCTTTCGAATCTTTCCCCTTTGTAGATGTAGGTGTCCAGGAATGTTGTTTCCTTATCGGAAATTTCAGCCGTAAATTTGATCGTAGGGTGATGATTGTTTGCTTGTTCAATGAAATGTTTTATTCTGGCTCTGTTTGTAGTCCAGAGCGAGAAGATGTCGTCTATGTAACGTTTCCAAACGAGCGGTTTGAAAAGGCTTCGGCTAAGGATTTCCGTCTCTACCTTGTTCATGAATATATTAGAAAAGGCGACTGCCATTTTCGTGCCCATGGCCGTACCATGTGTTTGAAGGTAGTTTTTCCATTAAACTGGAAAGAGTTTTCTTGGAGAATTAGCCTGAGCGCTCGTTTTAGTAGTTGTGTAGGGATAGGAGGTTCGTTTCTATAGAATATTTCGTATGCTCTGCATACCGTGTCTATTCCCTCCTCTTGCGGTATATTTGTATACAAGCTCGTAACGTCCATTGAAACAAGTATGACGTCCACTGGGACTTTCGTATTTTCTATGAAATTGACGAAGTCGGTAGTATCTTTAAGATAAGACTTTTGTTGTTGTGCTATCGGCTGAAGGAGTTTGTCGACAAATGATGATAATTTCTCTGTTGGGCCATCACACCCTGATACTATCGGTCTGCCGACCGGGGACGGCTTGTGTATCTTAGTGAGGGTGTAAAATTCTGGAATTCGAGGCGGATTTGGTGTTTGACAAAGCCATTTTTTAGTCATGTCGTCTATGTGATCCCCGTTGTGGAGGTCTGTAATAAGTTGTTTAACTTTATGGTTTGTATCAGTGACCATGGGTGATGCAAGAGGCCTGTAGTTGTCTTTGTTGTCTAGTAGAATTTGGCCTTCTTTAATTTTGTCTTGTGTGTTCATGACTACGGTTGTTGTTCCTTTATCGGCCTTTTTAAGGTTTATTTCAGTGTCACGTTTTAGGGCTCTCAGAGCCTCACGTTCGGCCGGAGGCAGATTATTTTTTGGCTTTGTTATTTCTATTTCTGCAAGGTCGCTCTTAACCTCTTCTAGGTAACTTTCAAGGGCTACTGATCGTTGTATTGGTGGTTCCCATGCAGATTTGACATGGTAAGGATGGGGTTCGTTGTTTTCCCCTCGAAATATGTACATGAGACGCATTCTTCTTGCAAACTGATCAAAGTCACGCAAGAGTTGTTGCCTGATTTGTGTTTGTTTTGTAAGGGATCGACTATTTACCAAGTTAAGAGTTGAGTTGAGTTTGAGTTGAGTTTGAGTTGAGTTTGAGTTAAGTTTGAGTTAAGTTGTAGTTACCGTTTTTACTTAAAATGTCGTTAATACTATCCACACGACATAAAATGTGCGGATTATTTATATAAAAATTATTATTTTTGAGGTGGTATTTTAGTTTTTAATACCCGATCGAGTTGGGTCAACCAAATCTGCGAGCCACGCGAGCCACGGTGCGAGTCATGCGAGCCATGCCTGTGAGCCATTTTTGAGTAATTCCGTTTTTCTTAAATTGGTCGGGGAGGTCGTCGATTATTCCACCAGCAAACATCCCTGGAGTTTTACCTGCGACTTGCCTAGCCGCCATCTTGTAAACGGAGTTACCTCGCTCCCAGGTTCCTCTCTCTCTGGCGCGACGCGAAGCAGTGTTCCTCGTGATGGCTCAATTTCGGCTCAATACGGAGATCCAACTAGCCGTCAATATAGTGCAGTATTGCCGTCTCAAAACAAAAATTCTTGCTATACGCGTTATCAGGTTTTTGTTTTGCAAAAAAAGTTCGAAAAACCCGACTTTTCACGCCATAAATTACTCATTGAAACATAAAAATTCGAAAGAACATCTTTCTGAAGTTTTTCAAAGAAACATGCGTCGAACAAAATGAGTAAATAACGCAAGTTTGCCAAGTTTTTAGCGAAAACTTTTTTTTTTCAAAATTATCATGGCGTGATTAGCCCGCGCATAGCTCAGCTCGATGTAAACAAACCGTTCAAACCAACAAAAAGAGATTTAGAACTTATCGTATCGTTCACTTTTGATAGAAAGGATCGCTTCATTGAATACAGTGTTGCTTTGTCTACCAAACTTGACAAAGTAATCAACATTTTAGTCCTTACTTTGAATATTTTTTGAAGTTTTTTGTTTTCTACGGAGGAACCCATTAAATTGCCGCGGAATTTTTCAACCAATCACAGACTGACTTTAAGTTGAAGTCATCATTTTTTATTCTGAGAGAATGAAACATACAGCTCCACCGCTCCGCTACTCGAAGGGGTATCCAATGACAGCTGTCACTCATTGCTATCCACGTGGAAAATCATTTAGGAAAAAAGATAACAGCGCACTTTAGTTCGAACTTACTGTGTTGGCGACAAGAATGGTAAGTAAATCGGTTAATTTTAACATGTTTGCTCCTTAGTGAATCAAATTTACTAGAACTCTGACAGTAGGCTGACTGTTGCATGTGTTTGCCTCTTTCCTCAGTCAAGTGTTTCTTCAAAACTAGCCACTAGAGTGGCAGAGGCCGGATTTGAGGTCGCATTCGACCCACCAGCAGACGGCAAATGTTTTTATCACGCCGCTTCGTTTCAAATTGGATTTAGTGCGTCAACATTGACCTCTGTCATCTTTGAGTACCTGGATAATCATCAGTTTGATGTAAGTAGTTAATTTCTTCTGGCCATTTTTGTTCAATTTCATTCTGAAGATGCAAGAAAGGTTGCCTAGGTTTTTATAAGTCTGAAGCGATTGCTTTGATGCCGTGTTTGTCAATGAATTTATTTTTGTACATGTTCGGTGTTTTCGAGGGTAATACGTCGAGGGTCGAGGGTAACAAGTCAAGGGTTGAAAAATCTCAAAATTGAAAAAAAAAATCGTTGCATTAAGACCCAGCTGATAGCCTGCTGAATCATAGAAGCACGTGCCATCGCAAGGCGGGTTGAAGTCTATGTCTATTTGAAATCCTTTGTCCTCCACATACTTCAACAACTTAACACTACCACTTGTCTCCATTTAATACTCAGTGTCTGTAAAATTTTTTAAAAAATACTCAACATTCTTACAATTTCTAAACACTTTTTCGAAAAAAGGAGGAACCTTATTCATGAAACTCGGATTTTTACATCTAGCTGAATAGAAAGCAATGGAATGTTGATTTTGTCCGGAAAACAAGTGTCATCGCATTCTGTCTCTTCGACTACGAAAGATAAGATTGTTATTCTTTTGTCTGACAGCTCCAGAGAAAACAGAACATAATTGCTGTAATAACATTACATATCGTTTTTAACTATACCTGAAGGAAACTTTCCAGCTTTGGAAATTAAAATCTGGACGTGACAAGTTAATACCTTTATATTTTTAGTAAAATGTATCCGGTTCCTGAATGTTTTTAATTCAATATTTATTTGACACTGGATTTCCAGTATGCTAAAATATCGGCGGGCTCACAAAAAAAGTCTATCCTTTTCTTAATACACCCTCTTCCCAGTGCGCCGGAAAAATCACTTTCAAACGCAGCATTCAGGCAATTGTTATACCTTATTGTAGACAATTATAAACGTGATTTAAATTTAATAACGCGAGTTAGAGGGAAAATGTTTTTTTTTTTTTTTAAAGAAAGGGAATTTAATAACGCGAGGAACGGGCCTGACTTTTAGGGTTTAAGATAACTTGGCTGTTGTACCGCTCTTTTGAAAGCAAGAATAATATAAACTGGAAATATTGCAGGGACATACCATATTTATTAGAATAAGCGCCGCGGTGCTTCTCAAGTACGGCGCCCGAGGGCAGCGCTTATTTGGGGGCGTCGCTTATTCGAGTAAATACGGTATCTCTAAAGTTTTTACATTGTGAAATAATAATAAAAAAAATAGTACAGAAAATGGAGGCCTGCTACTTCTTTCATTACACAGGATAACGGAGATGATCGACTGGCCTTTCTGTGTCAAACAGATATGGGTGGAAGGGAAGTGCCAGGAACATGGTCAGAGGCTTTAGAAATACTTCGAAACAACTATGCGAATTCGCTTGTCATCCAAGCCTTGGCAGATGCCTTGCATTACAAGCTTGTTATTATAACAGTACATGGGGTAAACTACTTGAATTTTCTACTTTACCTAAGTAATGTATGCCTAAATAATAAAGTCGAAGCTGTGGTAAACGGCAACCTTGGAAATTGGCAGAAGTGGTCGTATCTATAGCCAGTAGTTTTCAAGCCTAAACCTCCGTTCCGCACTGAATTCGCCAATAAATACAGGATGCCCGATTTAATACCAGATTCTACGTAGGTTACGCCGAAGATCTTCGGCGTGGATTTCAAACTTGCGCCGCGTACTGGCGTACAGCGGCACCTTTGAGCTGGCAAAGTTTGCCAGCTCAAAGGAACAACTGGCCCCAGATGACTTATTTTAGGTAAGAATTATAGAGGACTTTGGCGTAGACAAAATTTGGCGTATCTTCGGGGTGGCGTGCACACGGGAATGCACCCTGGCCGCATACGGTTCAGAGCAAATGGTTAATTGGTACGCAAATTGTTATTAATAGCACTGTAGTACGAACTAAAACAAACGCTTATCCGAAAGGTGTGTTACTATTTCTAGAGTAACATTATAATTTTTTTAGTTAATTTTGAAGTCATTCCAATTTCCTCTCTTCGGATCTCTATTGGCGGTTTTAAAAATATGATGACGCTTCGCCGTCAGGTATATTTCAGTATTAATTTTAAATCTTACGCCCCGCAGGATGAGAACTTCGTAAAAACCATCGAGCCAAAAGAAGGCACCGCAGGAAATACTCTTTTCTTTGGACACACTGGGAACCACTATATTGCCCTTCGACCCAAGGAAAAGGTAATAAGTCCTTCACATGTAATAATGTAATGCATTTTCTAACAAGTCAGGGCTCACATACGTGAATTATTGTTATCTTTATGCAGGGGAGTGTGTCATTATGCTGAAGTGTTAAAAAGAAACTTGGTCGATAAGCAGCCACATGTCCAGGAAGCTTCACAAAAGGAGCCAGTCAAATCAAAATCGAGCTATCCGTTGCAGCATACCAAAACGAACGTAAAAACAAGGTATCATATAATCTTAACATGTCAATTAACATACGCTCCCTCAAGAAAAAAAATAATGGCAACGTTGAAAAAAATACCATATTGACCATTTGACCATTGAGTGCGGACAAGTGAAGATAACACGCGCGGGACTGGGTAACAGGTCACTTTTCTTCTCGCATCCCCGCACGTTTTATATTTGCTGGCCCCGACTTTTTCGCTCGCCCCACTGACAGGCTAAAGAGTATTCGATCGTTGTTAGGAAATGCCAACGATTTACAATATGAATTTGGTTTCGTAGTTGATGAATGTTCTGAGCTTGTGCATTCTATAAAATCGCTATGTTTTCGACAAAAATAGTTTTGCATCGCTACTCCCTTATGAAATCTAATTTACCGCTCTATAGCCACCCTGAGTGATGTAATTTTATTTGTTGAATAGGATGAGCTGATTGTGGTGAGCGATGGTGATGAATCTTGTTCTGAGACCTCGAGTTGTAACGATGATACTTCTTCTGAACGATTCTGTGCAACGGTTAGTACCTACCTATGTATTCAAAAGGGCTACGTCAAGATGTTTAGTTTATTCTGATATACGTTTTTATATAATTTTCATGTAGTTAATGCTAGATGTTAATGTTTTGAATGCCTTTTTTCTTAGAAAAATCGACGTAAGATAAAAAGGCCCATCCAATTTCGAGTCATGGGAAGAAGAGAGTTATTCTCCCGGCATACCTGTCCTGCCCTTAGGTTGCTTTCCTTACAGATTTGAAAAGGTAAGTTGCCGCTTCGCAATATTTTTCTCTGCACTCGGCCCATAATGTTTCGTATCATTGCTGGAATTAACAGTAAGTTTAAATAAAATACTAAATAAAATATCGCAATTTGATAGGATATTGCACACACCAAAATCTCTTGATTTACACGACGCTCTCTTTCTCGGCAGAATGATGGCTGCTCCAGTAAAAAGGAAAATACTACAACTAGCGTATCGACCATAGACTTAACAAAGGATTCTCCAGTAAAAAGGTAAAATCCTTTTTCCATCAACTAAGGCATAACGGCATACAATTCAGATATAATGAGACACTCCTGAAGGTATATGGAAACCTTATTTGCGGATAACATTATTGTTTTTCTTTTTAATTTTAGTGAAGGCAAAGTTAAAGCGGATATAGACAGTGACAGTGACGAATTGCTTTCTAAATCAGTCTTTTCACTTACAGAGTGAGTTAGATTTGTTAATCACATCTCTTAAAGTATATATATATAAATATAAAATATATATAAATTAAAATAAGTTGATCTGCAGAACTGCTTTCAGAGTGCTCAATAGTAAAACTAGAGCTGTTTATAATAGAAGACGGACTGATCAACTGCCAAGTCAAATCTACAGTTGATCAGTCCGTCTTCTATTATGTATATAGTCCCCTTTATAGTTTTTGGCTCTTGGTTTGAGAAATTAATTGAATTCAGTACCTAATAAATCATAATCATATTTTTTTTTCTTCTTTTCTTTGCCTTCTGACAGGAAACTACCTGGAACTCGTATCTCCGCTATTAACCTTGACGAAAGTTCGTCTGATCTTTCAGATTCGACTTTTGTGCGAAAACGGTTAAGTTACATGCGTTTTTTAAAATGCTAATCACGTAATTTTCCACCGAGGGCAATATATAAACCTACGATGAGGTGGTCTTGAAGCCAAAGTCGGCTGAGGGCGTGTGATTCCCGCGCTCGGCTGACGTTTGCTTCGAAAAAAGAGCGCCTGAACGCATGTTATAACTGAACATACATATAGGAACCTGCAGTATTTCTAATATGAGGTGTTGGTCAGTAGTCGAAACATCTTCGAATCATTTTCGGAAATCATCGACAACTTGGGAAATCAGTCAGTTTTAGGTGCATACACTGCCAAAACATGTAGCCAAAGCACAATTAATCGCAGAGAAACGCAGACGCGTTCTCTTCCCGCAGTATTCGCGAGTTGGTTTTTCAAAGTAGTTGGAACATGGGAACTCCATAGACATTAATACCCGCTAAAATGATTTTTTATTTACCATGTCTGCGTAATTGGACTGCACAAACCTTTCATTAGTGTTGAAAACGATTTCACCATCTTAGGAAAATGTTGCAGTTATCAGATAACTTTAAAATAAACATATCTATTTTTGTGCCTTAGACTTATTACGAGGGAACGAACATCGAAAGAGAGTAGCTCAGAGGATGATGATTCCGTCAACGATAACGTCCCTAAGCGTTTGAACGAAACTTCACTGCCACCTCACTCTGAGCACAAAAAAAAGGTAACCTTTCCAACCTTAATATCAGATATAAAGGCAATAATAACAAGTGTTATAGTCTTGTTCAGAATTTATTTTTAACATTTTTTAAGTACTTTGCATGATCGAAAAATACAAATACTGAATATCGACAAAAATCGTCTTCATCATACTAATGTTAAAATCACGTATCTAATGAAAAGTACCTAGCTAAAGTTTAGTTTGTAGTATCGCTGTATTTTTAATTTCTTGTCGTTTGATCACTACAGAAAGAGACTCAAGCTGGATCCATCTTTATGGTTTGGAGTTGATGTTGAAGTGGTTAACGAGTTACCCTATGATATAGATGGTTCGAAGGTTTTCCAAGTTCGGTTTCACAAAGATGGGCGTAACATACACGATGGTCGTCCCTGGAAACCGTGGGTCACCTCAAGTCGAAAGGGGTTCCGTGGAAAGAGAAATGTTCAATCTTGTAGGGGTTCTTACCTTTGCACGAACAAGAACTGTCCCTACAAAAACAATTTGGAAGAGCAAACAGTGTCCAGTTCGTTAGATCTGGAGGAAACGAACTTTGCAGATCTTGCAACTTCAAAGGTGAATACATTTCTTGCTCAGCTAGGAAGGTCAGTGAATATCCAGAAGGTTCTAACATTGCAACCATTTACCATATTGGGAATCACACTTGCACAGCTATTCCTAAGCCCAAGCTACACGCAGACAGTGACATTGAACAGTTTTTCAAAACACATTCAATGGTTAAGCCCTCTGCAGTTCCAACTGCCAAGCTAACAAACATGATCAGAGAAGGCAGACCGTGGTCGGAAGTGGAGGATGTTGCCGAAGCAATGCTAGACAAGAAAAAGGTGCAGAACATAAAGTCTAAAGTAGCAAATAGCATGCATCCCCATGGGCACAACTTTGATGCTGTTGCAGAAATAAAGAAGAAAACAGACGAGAAAGATCAGTACTTAGTCTGGAAAATTAATAATCGTCACTTCAATAATGGCCAACAAAGCCTTGTCTTTAAAACGAGCAGAGAAAAAGCTGAAATATGTGTTCAAATGGACAAAGATCAAAGTGAGCATCCTCTATCCAAAGAGTTCTGTTTCCTTGATGCCGTGCACAGTCGATGCCAAGGCTTCAAAACACTGACCCTTTGGGTGTGGCATCCAACTTTAAATGAGCTTGTTAACTTAGCTACAATGGAGTGTGAGGCCGAGTCCAGTCTCGTAATACAGACGTTTTGGAACAATCTTAATGAGGTAACTTTGATCTTGTTTTTGTTAGCTAGGCAGTGTCCCAGTGTTCCATTAATTTCTACTTGTGATTTGTTGTTCTGTTACAAATCAGTGGCTGACGCAGACGTCCTCGGGGGCGTGGGGGGCTCCCCTAGATCCGCCACTGGAAATCTATGTAATTTTATGGAGTTTTAAAGGCTTGATGGAAGAATGCTTTCAACTGCTCTGGTAAAATTCCGTGCTCGACTACCTGTACAGTATTATGGTCTTAATCCCCATTTTGTTTTACTCTTAGTGATTCTGAAGAACTTTGCGGCAATTTTAATCGCCTGCAAAGTTTTCAGGTTCAAATTGCCTGTGTTCTGCATACAACATGCATGCACTCTGCTTTCATCCCATTAAAATCGCAAGCAAATCGGTGGTTTACACAGGTGATTGGAGGCCTTACGTATACAAATCGCCTGTGCAGGCAATTAACAGGAAAAAGTAAAAAAAAAAAGATTGAGTGGTAAACCGCGCGCATAAAATTGGCGGGAAAAGTTTAAAACAGTTTCAAAGATGACGCTCGTTGCGCTCACGAAATGGTCCACAAAAGGATCGGAGTACCCTGGATTCTTCTACGCCGAGCTACGCCGGACGACAAGAGTCCACTGCTCGCAGGGTACAAAAGGAAATTCAATAGCAATGTTACGTTAAGTTTGCCTATTTTACGCATTTTGCATTTATCTGGACGCATTATTAATAATTTTATTATGTTTTACATCGTTCAGACATATAAAAGAAACACATCATTTAATTTGACAACTTATTCAAAGATATTGAATACGTCATTTTTGGGTTAAAGGCCCTGTATCACCCAAAATGCATTGCGCGCCCAATGCCTCTGCGATTGACTTTAACGCAGGCGAAAATTCCCGAAAGAGCCAATCACGAGCGAGCTCGTCATTTGAAAACAAAATCAAAGGACCGCAAAGCCGAATGGGTGATACTGGGCCTTTGAATCCACAAGTATAATCAGCGATGGATGTGCACTGCAATATTATTAATTGTAATTCATTTGACGTTGTTTTTTTTTTTGAGGTTCTACGAGATTTTACAGGGGACGATGAATATATCTTTAATCCAGCGGGATGGATGTTCGATGAAGCAGGAGGAAACTGGGATGCCATCGAAAAAGTATTTGGCAGTAAATCCTTAGAACAGTGTGTGTCTTGTGAATTTCACTTTTTTCAGTGTTGCAACAGGCAGATACATACGAACTGGAGTGATAAGTCAAAGCATACGTTCAAGACTCTCGCTAGGAACATTTTTGAAGCACCAACGCCTTATCGTTACGATCAAGCCAGGAAAGAACTCGTAGCATTTTCAGATGAAAAGCCTGCAAAGCGAGGTCATATCATTAGCTGGTTCAAATGGTGGCATAAAAGAAGGACCCATATATTTAAGGCGTTCAAATGTGGTGCACCACTTACCCCAAACGTCAATTTGGCTGAAGTTGGTCACTCGCAGTGGGCCAAAAAAGGATCTTACAGGCTAACCCTTGCCATGGCTGCAGAGGAGGATGTGGCAGAAGCAATCATGCTCTCAAAGAAACTTCAATCATACGGTTATGGAACTTATAAAGGAGGAAAACATCGGAGCCAAAGTGACAGACTCAAAGCCACAACTATTTCCAGCAAATGACAAGAGCGAAAGCCTTTGGAGAAGAAATTTCAGCAGGTGTTGTCGACAATTCCTTATATGTACAAGCAGAGTCTTCTAGAGCTTCATCTGTAGATGCTAACTGCTCCCATAGAGCGACACGAAAACGAAAACGTCAAGTCAGTGTTTTTAGCGATGGAAGTAACTTAGCATCTTCGTCTTCTGAGGACGATTCGCATCATTCAGCCCCCAAAGCTGGGACACGTGAGGATAGACGTGACGGCCGTTTCCGAAAAAGTGCCAGTAAGGCGTTCCAGCGCTCCTTGGAGCTCGCCAAGAAGGAAACATTCTTGCTTGTTGACTCTAACGAGCTTGGAAGAAACGAGAGGCAATTCGTAATCAGATCGGGACTAAACACATATGAGGTCAAGATTTCTGAGCATCCAACATGTAATTGTCCGTATGCGAATAGTGCTAATATTTGTAAACATGTTCTTTTCGTGCTTTTGAACTTCTTTAAAGTTCAAGATGAAGACTATCGTCTCTATCAGAAAGCATTGACAAAAAATGAATTGGACGACTTATTTAGTAAGCTGGATTTGAAATCTCCCGTAGTGACTAAACCAACAAATGTAGCCATTTTTAACGCACACCACGCTGCAAAAAGGAAGCAAGTTTGGCAAGTACAGCGGTTTAAATCACAACCTGGCCCAAAACCAAGGTGTGCTAAACCAGGCTGCGAGACTCATTTCTCAGATGGAGACATTTGCATTACAGTCGAGGGGCTGTATGTCACACCAAATGCAACCGCGGATGGAAATCGCTTCGCGGTACTACGTAATTTTCGATTTTGCCCCCAAAAAGATTGCATAAGCACGCAACCAAGACAAAGCAATTTGACTGTTCCTCCGATGGCTGTCGCACTAGACGAGAATATCAACATATCTCCCGATGAATATCAGAAATTGATTGACGAGGAGATAATGTAAAGAAATGTAAGGACCTAAGAGCGACAGGACATAGAAATCCCGTTTGGTGTTGTTGTTTTCATTTGAGTTTCCTTTGTTGTTGGAATATACTCTCTTTAGTTCGAATGATATTTCAAAACATTAACTTAAAGGAAAAAAATTAAAAAATAAACGTTCGTTTTTCGCCCATCACGCCGTCGGAAAAAGGAGTGCGTGACAAGCCCAAAAAACATTTGAAGGCAGGCGCCTGTCTCTTTCAGGTCGTGGGGAAAGGTTCCGCTCTTCAGTATGCATTTATGAAAAGTATGCACGAAGTGCGACGGCTGATACCGAAAATGCGCGAAATACTCACGAAGAGGCCCCGAATGTTTCTGCATCAATAATGGCATGTGCAAAACGCTGTCTGGTAAAATACACTGTTTTGCAACGCATTGTTGTTTTTGCATGAAGTGTTGACAAAAGTCCGTGGATTAAAATTAGCAAAATTACCATATACTTTTGCATTCGTGTTTCCTCGGAAAGCCTTCGGAGCGTAAAAACAAGCACTTTTGTGTTCAAGAATTCAGACTGAACATTATGAAAGTGATCTACCGTATTTTGATTTTTCTGTAAATAATTTTAAAAAAAACTGTTGACCATGTCATTGTGAAAACATAAGCTTACCGCAATATTGCGTACGTTAGCATTTCTTATTCACGGGCTGGCTCTTATGCCAGTATTTATTTACAAGAATTTAACCGAGATATCGCAAGTTTTTTTTGTCTCCAGTGAGTTCAGGTTAATTTACATACGCAGCGACTAAAGCGATACTTTAACCTTTGATTCGAAACGTACGTTGTTACGCATATATATCTGCCTCTCAAACGGGGAGGTTGAATGGAATTGTCATTAATTCTATTATTCTTTAAGTTAATGACAGAAAAGAAATACGAAGAGAAAAAACACAGCGTGCATAGCCTGTGTACAGACGCCCCCTCCCCCAGATTTTTTTTTTCTGAGGGGAGGGGAGGGGCGTCTGTACACAGGCTACAGCGTGCACGGATTGCTTTAGTTTTGTCGGACCGTAATAACTTTGCATACCGACAAAAACAATATCAAGCGACACCTTTAATACAAATGCAGTCACTTCATTCGCAATGCTATAAATAACTAAAAGACCCTAAAATGTCTCGCTACACAGGCTTAAAAATTCATCCTTTATCTGCTGGAAAGAAATACATAAATTCAGGACTTACGGGTTTTGTTAAATTTGAGACCGGAAGTTCGCGAACCCCGCGCCGATTTCTGTTTCAATTCGTGAATTGTAAGTAAACAACAGTTTAATTCAGTTCACTTCTACTTCATTTTTTTAGATCAAAGTTCCCAATATAGCCAGGTGTATACTGGTAGTAAACAACAGCATAGAAAACTTTAGTTCATTTCAATATCATCGAATGTGACCGGTCATCTTGACCGTCAAGGCCAACAAAATGAGGACAATTCAACGCTTCACGTTTGGGAATGTAAAATTATTAAACACTTTTTCATTCGTGAAAAAACGAACAGTCGGTCAATTTTGTGTAAAAACGATCTGGATCTTCCATTAACCACTTTTAAGTTAACAAAAATGAAAGCAACGGTAACTCAAACTTAACTCAGACTTAACTCAAACTCAACTCAAACTCAACTCAAACTCAACTCAACTCGTAACTCGGTCATTAGTATCTCTCGTTTTGTAACGGGTGTTGGAATGAATTTAAGCCCTTTTGCCAGTAAATTAATCTGGTCATTTGTAAGTTCTTTGTTTGAGAGGTTTTTTATGTGTTTTTTGTTCGCCTCTATAGAAATAACAGAAATAACAGCGAGATAAAAGAAAAAAACGTCTCTTTGATCAGCTAGATCCCTGCGCATTTTGCCTTCTTGAATTTACGTTCCAAAAAATTCAACTGACGTGACAATTTTGGGAGCCGATATCAGTAGTGTGACCTTCCCAGAATTTTTACCCAGGTAAAACAAAACCCGAGATGAATTTACCTAGGCAGATTTTTGATGAATTTGCCCTAGGTAAATCGGTTTTACCTAGGTAAAAGTCTGTAGTGTGACCACAGCTATTGTTAGTCTTTGAAGTGGGGCATATTTATTTCTTCTTTAAACAAAACGAGATCGATGGCCTGGAGAAAGTTGCTGTTGGAAGCAACCAAATACATGTATATTATGGATGATTATGGTTATCTCAAAGCAGAAGTCCTTATCAGGGTTATATGCTTCTGTCTCAAAGCTTAAGTTTAAGCTTATTTAACATAGCACTTTATTTGGTAAATTTACAACTATAATTTTTGTTTTGTTTCCAACATGCAGAAAGATGGTTGACAAAAAACATGACAAGTGGCTCTAAAGTGGAAGAGGAGTATGTTCACAAATTTATGTTTTATTTTTTTACCTCATGAGTGTTAAAATGTTTTTCTAGCCAAATGGCTGTGCTCAAAGAAAATTTGAAGGGTCTGAATCCATTGCTATGAAACTGTGAAATCCACACTGCTCAAGATATGGTTCCTATGAAAAACTTTCTTTTAGGCTGGGTTCAAATGTCGAATTTCACTTGAGCCAAACTTAACGCAAGAGTTAGATGCATGTGAAGTGCAACGTTTGAATCAATTAAATAAGACTGTTTAAATTAAATGCGATGTTTGCCGTATCTGCGACTGAAACAGTTGAAGATTTGACTAAGGTTCAACTTTTGATTCAAACGTTGCAGTTCACATGTGCCAACTTAATGCATGAATTTTGGTAAATTATGATTATATTACTGGGAATATTGACTTTTAACAGAGTTAAATTCAGCAGAGTTTAGGGAGTTAAATTTGACGTTTAAATCAAATGCCGCATTTAACTATCGTATTTATTCGAATAAGCGCCCAACCTCGAATTAGCGCCCACCTCGAATAAGCGCCCATCCCAAAGGCAGAAAAAGTTAATAAGCGCACAGCCTCAAATAAGCGCCCACCCCACCCCACTCCCTCCCACACAAACTTAAATAAGACATAATAAGAGACCCTCCCGAAGACGGAGTTTTCTTCAGAGTATTTTACAGATTGGGCTGTAACCTTGCCTTGTTACTTCTTCGCTTTTTGTTATTACCATTTATTATTTTGTAGCAAAATAAACATACTACACTTGCTGAGAATGGCGAAAATTTAATAAGCGCCCAACCTCGAATAAGCGCCCACCTCGATTAAGCGCCCACAAGCAAGGTCCAAAAATTTAATAAGCGCCCAGGGCGGTTAATCGAATAAATACGGTATTTAAGTAGAGTCAATTAGGAATAAAGTTCTGCGCATGTGAATTTTGACGTTTGAACTGGGCCTTAGACACTCAGGATTAAAAGTCAGTTGCCACGGGTGACCTGGAAAGCACAGCCTCAGGTGTTGTTTACCTTAAGAATCTTATCCCTCATGCCAGAGCTATGGCAAAGCCCAGGTTTGAGGGTGGGATATCCGAGAGGCCAGCACCTGATGGTCCATCATGAGCCACATTCAGGCCACTTCTCAGTCAAGGCTAGTCTGCTACACAGCCGTTTTTAGTGTCGTCACGCAACGCTCCTCCCCACTAACGGCTGTCGAAAACCGAACTACATTCCTTTCCCGTGATTAGCCAATTATAATTCAGCTCCCATTTTCTGGAAAGTGTTCGCGCCACCTTTGCGGTACTGTGACTCCTCCAATCACAGCTTTGCTTTTATCGTTGCCCCATGTGTGAATGACAGAATAATCAAAATCGTCGCGTGAAAACAAGCAATTAACTACAGTGTTATCGTAGTGGAGTCCTATTCAAAATTTAGGAGATAAGCAGCAACAGCAAGCAAGTCGAGCAAATTGCAATTCACAACATGGATGTGCTCATAAAGTTGCCAGGTTTAGTTTTGGGAAATCGCTCCTCGATAATTTATAAGATTGCTTTTTGACTTTGAGTGTTTAGTCTTCACAGAACACAATGAGCACATCCGGTACGTTACGTTACATGAAGAACCAACCGATCCTGGTAAAAGTTTTCTAGGCCTATCAAACCTTCTTTTCACTTGGAACTTTCTTGACCGCTTAAAACAAACTTTTTTGCAAATTAACCTTTTCGTTGCTTGAAAACACAGAGCATGACAGAGCCCGTCTAAATTTGGCGACGATTGATTGATTTGTCGAAAACTGAGAAGCGTGCTCGCTTCCTAGCGCCCTGCGGCTCACGTATTGTCAAATTTCTTGTACATGATTGGTTTGTTCGTTAGTCCACAAACACAAAGGGAAAGGAATGTAGTTCTGTTTTCAGCAGCCGTTAGTGGGAAGAAGCGTTGCGTGACGACACTAAAAACGGCTGTGTAGCAGACTAAGTCAAGGCCTAGGCCCAGTTGTTCTAAGGCTTATTAGAACCCACACGGGGATAAATTTTTAAATAATTTGGTTTCCTTTTTCATTCGTTCAAAAACATTTTCACACTTAATGTCCTCTTCTTTTTTAGAGCATCCAATCATCAAATTGCAGACAAAAAGAACTTTTAAAGTGAATTTGTTTATAAGCTTTCCTATCTCAACTCAAAGTTTGCATAAACCAGCATTACACAACCTGGCCTGACCTTGTTTATATGAATTCATATGAATTTAATGAGAAAGAGAGTGGAGATAATAGAAAAGTATAATATGTTATTAGTAGTATGAGGCTTCCTTCCACAGAAGATAATCAACTGTGGCAATTTTTGTCTTAATAGGGTACCGGTAGCTTAATTTATCATATACATCCAGGGTGCAAAGAAAGTCAGTTTTACAGCCTGCCATTCTGGCAAGCTGCAGCTACCCCGTACTAGCCCACAAGTCATTTCAACTAGCCCCCAAACCCTTTTTGAATAGCAGGATTGATTACAATCCTTCGGTAATTTGAATTTCTCCAAAAAACAGCACTTGCCCATCAGGCAAGTTAAGAACAAAAATCACTAGCCCGATAGCAAAATCCACTAGCCCCGGGCTATCGGACACGACTTTCCTTGCAGGCTGACATCACATAAAAGTACCAACTTTGCTTTTCAAAGACAAAAGAAAACTTTTCAATGACTCTTTCGAAGTTCTGAAGCCAAAAGAAAATCAGGCTTAGGTTTACCTTCTCGTTTATTTGTAATATTCATTTAAGAAATCTTTGACCAGAGGAAAAGTTGTGATAATCAAAAAGTTGGTTAATTGAGGTCCAGATAATCAAGGTTTAACTGTTGGCTTAAATGTCCAAAGTCCATTATTTGTTTATAGATTTTAATAACAGTACATGTTATGGATTTTCTAAGAGCTTATATAAACGTAACTTGGATTATTTGGTTAACGGTGGCAAACATTGAAGAGTGCAAATGGTATAGTCTTTGATTACTTTGCAAATTCTCAAGCTATCAATAAGATGCGTGTACAAAAATATATTATGATATGTGAAATTTTTGCTGTTTACCAAATTTTAGTCAAGTCTTTGTAGCATTATTGATTAATGACAAATGTACATTAAACCCTCTAGCAGTCACTCCAGAAGTCAGCTATTTCATTAGTTTTGTTACCTTTGGCAAGTATCAATAGCCCACCAAACAAACCTTGGCAATTGTGAGGCATTTGCGTTTTGTTAGTGGTATTTCCTAAAGTGCATTTAGATATATTTTTAATATAAGAAATAAGAATATTTTGTCTGGACAGTCAACTCTCTTTAAGATGGACACCTTTGGGACCAGCACTACTGATTCAGTATATCCGTCTTATAGAGATCCAAATAGAGTGAGTTATAAAGAGAAACAGGGACCATCTCAAGGTGTCCACTTAACAGAGGTGTTTTTAATAGCTATTATTTAAAATTACATACTCTAATAACAGTGGAACTAAGTGCAATGAAGATTGTTATCTTTCCTGTGGTAAATAACTAAAGATACACTTTGTTGGATGTTGTACCAATGGTACCTGAAGGGAAAGTTTTATTTAATGTTAATTTTTACTGGGTATGTGCTGCTGGCCTCTCAGTATCCCTATCCCATTACTGTATACCGATAGTCTACTCTGTGGCCATATTATAGACCCCATTTCGGTCACTTTGGAAAAAAAGTGATTTTTGCAATCCCAACTTGGTCACTTTCTGTTTATTTGTCTACCTAATAAAGTCTTTTGACTTGGTCATCCTGAAATGAACTGACACTTGTTAAACTTAATGTTTTAGTTTTGTTTTACAGTTAATTGTAAGATCAGGACAAGCTTTGTGAAATAAATGAGAATTGTCAGTTAAAATTCTTGAGTCATTTTTCTTTAAATACTGTAATCACCTTGCACCCTTTACAGTGGAACTCTGATATTTAAGAAGTTTCAAGGAACAAAGTGCAATGAAGATGGTTACTGTTTTAACAGTGTCTTCGTTATATCAGGGTTTCAGGCAAGGGTTGTGATAAATGAGGGGGAAAGGGATCGAACTGATGGTCTTTCAACCTGTCCTAGTTGAGTTGAATGAACTTCTGCAGCATTAGTCCACTTTAAAGAAAGGTTGAAAGCTTGTGTTAAGTGCAAATTGCAAGAAGCAATAAAGGGGTAGATGCCAGGGAAGAAAAGAGAGAAGGGTAGTACGTATGTACTGGCCTGGCACACTCACTTTACAATATAAAATTTGCTCTATATTTGTCCATACAAATATGTTATTTGACAAAGTTTGAACACATTTGAACACATTTGTTTGCAGTCTGGCTCATTTATCTGCATTTGTCACAAAGCAAATGTTATATTTGTCCTACATTTACACAGTATTTGTTCACATTTGTCTTAGATAGCAAATGCATCATTATCCTATTTGTCTTAAAGACAAATGTCTAATTTGTGCTTTGCACAAATGTGAACAAATATGACAAATTTTATATTTAGACCACATTTGTCCCACATTTATCTCATTTCAAATCTGTTTTTTCATCCAGTTAGTGGTGCCGGATCTCTCAGTTGTAGACCTGGATCAGTACAATAACAACTTATAGAAAAGTATGACACGGCAAACTGATCCTTACGGCAAGGCGATGAAGAAGTAAACAAAAGAATAAAACGAAAAATATATATTGAAACAAATTTGCCCAATATTTGATAACAAACCTTCTTCAGTGGCAAACGAAAAATGAAGATAAAACTGAAAGTTCGTTCAAAAAAATTGGTGGTCTTTGGTGATCTGCTGAGCAGGCAATTAATTTGTTACATTCCTACTTTACTGGTCAAAAGCGAAGAGTTAAGGTTAACAGAGTTTTAATTGGTTACCCGTTTTTCTGTGGTGTACCTCAAAGCAGCCTCCTGGGGCCACTCTTGTCTAACATATTCATCAACGATCTGAACCCTGAGGCTCTACGCCGATAACACTACGACGTTGATGCATCCGATAACAACATTTAAGCTTTGGAACTATCTCTTAATCAAGATCTTAAGAATCTTTCACAGACATCCTGGTTTGCCTCAAATTACTTGTTAGTCCATGGTAAGAAAACCCAAGCGTTCTCAAGTAACTGTTCCTCATATTGGCGATTCTGTTATCGAAATCAAATGGTCTCCTGAAGATTCTTGGTGTTCATATCGACGATAAACTGTTCGGTCTTTAAAGACAACCTATCAGCTGTTTTAAAGAAAGTCTATGCTAAGACTGGAGCCCTGAGACGACTAAGAAAGCTGGTGCCTGTTGACATCTCACTTAATTATGTCGTACAAGGCTTATACACTTCCATACCTTGAATATTGCAGTCCTCTACTATTAGCAATTAACAAAACTCGGAACAAGAAACTTGAATCCGCAAACTATTATGCTTTTAAAGCCCTAACAGCCAGTTGCAAATGTAAGTATCGTATGTGTTAGGGTTTTTAGCTTATCTTATATTCAAAATCGATTTATTCTTCCACTGAGTGTGATATCCATAGTTTTTAGTAAGCACGATGGGGAAGGGTGTTCCTTGTGTACCTCTTACATATGCATTCCCGCATACATTAATTTTTATCATTGTTTTATACACTTGTCACCTGTTTAATTATTATAATTTTCATCAGTATTGTATCACCGGGTATTATTTATTACTAGTTTTGTCATGCGTTTTATACATGCGCCTCCGGCTGGGGTACTTGGGGCAACCCTACCCCCCGTTATAACACAAATATATTGATTGTATTGTATATTGTATTGTATATAATAAAGAGTGTGAAATTCCCTTAGCATCTGTAAAAAAAGGTAATGTTGAACATATGATCATTCAAAGATATTAGTTAAGCGATCACTAGGAACTAAGTGGTTTAAAAGTACCTACCTTAGGGGCCATTTGTTTCTTTTTTGATTTGTCAACAACTGCATAAAAGTGATCGTTGCACTCAGTTTCGCTATTTGTATCCTGTTCACTGGCGGCCTCGTTGCTGTTTATTTCCTTTCCTTGTTTCAAAGATGAACGATTCAAATGCTCCACAGGATCCCCACCCACAGCCGAGTTGTCTTCTGTGCAGGAAACGTCCAGGCTCGCATCCCGAGAAGCGGTGTTTTTACGAAACATGACTGCTTTACTTTCTTTAACAAGCACGTTGGCGTAAACATGGTGCCCTTTGTCCTTTTGATCGTTGTCTTTATCACACCTCTCCGTATTTTTCTTCAATGCTAGTTGGTCTGCTGCGGTGTGATCATCATTTGGGGGTGATTGCACTCCTCCTTCAGAGCTGGATGGACCTTCCTGGTCACACTTGGATTTTGGCTTACTCTCATCTACAACTGCATAGGCGTACTCTTCGTTGTTTTCTCTAACAGTATTAATAGTAATACGTTCTTCCTGTGCTTGTGACATGCTAACATGAACTGTAAGTTCGGTGGAGCTATGCAGGTAATGTTTTCGGTCACGGGGTTGTTTTCCTGACTGAGACGAAACTTAAAGAAGTGTAAAAGAAGACGATATCGTTAAAAAAGGAACAACAACGACTGTGTTTATGATGTAAGTATATGCAGTATACTCCTAAATTTAGAAAGGAGAAGTTAAAAACTGGCATTTTTGCCATATTGGATATGTTTTTTTTTTTATGATTTACAGAGTCGTAAAAAGTAGATTGACCAAAACAAGTTTTAAAAAAGCCGTGTCAATTTACTTTTCTTATGAACTCAATCCCACTGTCTTGTGTTCCTTCTACCATAGGCGTAGCACCATGGCTACGGGACATGCAGCTTCTTTTAAAAGAAACAATATTTCTTTAATCTTAAAATCCTATTTTTTTGGAACAAGCATAGTTCGCATGGTTGTGGTGACATTACAGTCTTTTCAGAATGAAAAACAAAGTGTTACTGAATAGAATAACAAAGAGTACCTTTCGCTTTGTTTCTGCGACGTCGCTGAGAAAAAATGATGAAAAATACAATCAAAAGAGCCAGTATGATAACAGCTAGAAGAATTAAGATGATTACAGTGATATCAGGAGATTCGTTGATGACTCCCTCAGGAACTGCCGCTGCAAAAGACAACGAAAAGTGGAAATTCTTTGAGCTAAAAACCCGTGAATCACCCCATCCATCAGATTAGTTAGGCTAAACTGAACAAGAATTTCTTCTAAATTATGTTTCCCTTTTGCAGGTTACAAAACAAAGGCCGTTATTAACTTGACCGAGCTTGTAGGTTTCCAGCGTTTTTTTTAAAGTAATTATCCCAAAAACATTAATTAATTTGTTTCAATGATATTAAGGCTGTACATTGCCCCCACATTGCCTGAGCAGGCCAAAGAATCTATAGATACACCTACGTTTTGGTTTTGTATAGGTAATACTGGCGTTTGTGTTTCTGGATGTGTTCGGGACGGGTTCTGTACTGGACTCTTCAACGCTGAACTGCTTGTGAGATGATAAGGCCGTTACTTTTACTGCTAGAGTATGACAGGAAAAAACTAGCACGTTTGTGTAATGGCATCTTTATGGTAGCTGGATGACATAAGATGTGCTATATAAAAGCAAAGGATTTATCCACTCCTCAGTGGCAACCGCTACTCTTAACGAGTGCTGAGTATGCAGCCTGGAAGCAGAAGCACGGATCCTCAGAACCTCAACAATGCCCGTAATTCTTGGAGGAAACTGACTGACTGACTTCACCCTTTAAAAGTCTACTGAAATTTCGTGCACCTGCATGATTGTCGATCCAGAAAGTCACATAAAATAATGTCCTCGATAGTAGGACTTCATTTGTTGACTAGTACTTCATGGTAAACATGAAGACATGTTAAAGTAAATTGCACGTACTTGTCGTAGCAATGATTGCCTTTGAACCGTCCTTTGTCGATGGACTCCGTTCAAAGGATATAGAATGTGGCCCTGTAGCAGATAATGGTTTGTCGCTTTCCTTTGGCGTTGCTGGCTCACTCGTTGGCTTTGCAAGTACCCGCCTTGACGTTGTGAGCAATGAAGAATGACCTGAAATTTTATAATTTATATATTACGACGTAGAAAGTTTTTAATTGTTACCTCACACAACGGAATTTATAGAATGATTTATTTATTCAGAATAAAAATGAGTAGAAATGGTATAGGAAATGCACCAACTGTATAACAACACTGCTGAAGACACAGAATATTCTTTCCAGGGGTTTCGTTTCAGGCCGCACGCTGGACGCAACGTCCGGTTGTTTGACATGTAACGTCCGCTAGTTCACACACGAAACAATTATTTTTTTAAGTGTGAAAATCGTTTTTTCCATTTATTAACCAAAAAAAGACTTGACCCTTCTTTTACTCACTTAGTTATGTAATGCATACAGTCGAAAAAAAGAGTCATAATTCCGGTTACCCAATTCCGGTACAGGGAACGCAGGAAATTGCAGAGAGAGAGAGAGAGAGACCAGTTTTACAAATTTCCCGGGCGGGGGGGCATGCCCCTGGCCCCCCTTAGGAGTTCGTGCCTCCGGCACTCAACGTTCACGCCAGCGGTACTTCCAAATGCTACCGAAAACCCTATTCTTTCTGAGCCATACCTTAGTTTCTTAGCAATTATATTCAACACATGACATGATACTCACTTTCACATATAAACCCATGCTTTTGCTGTGTACAAGGCAAATCATCAAACAAACCATAGTTCTTGTTAAAATCCTTGTACATTACGGCACACCTTATATTACTGTTATTTTTGAGGGGTTGGCCTTTTGCCCAATAGGATTCATTCACTGTGCTGTTATTACTGATCCACCTCCAGCGTCCGTCTTTGTCTTTGGTTAAACCAATGAAGTATTCAGTTCCATCACTCTGTTGAAATTTGTTTATAGTGTCGTTCAGAAAGCTCCACTCCTCGTTACTTTCAATAGAAACAAGGTCACTTCCATTATCTTTGCAATGGACTCTGCTCATACTAAAATCAACCCAAAACCTCTCTTCCTGAGATGCAGAAAATGTGTACCGGGAACAGCCGTAAAAGAGCGTGTGGCCTTGAGAGAAAAACAAATTAGTATATACTAAAACATTCACTGATTCACCTCCAGAAGAAGAAGAACTCGGTTGTTTGTCCCAAATTATATACTCCTGCGTCACTATAACCGAACTAAGAGCTGCTTTGACCTGATATGACTGTGCATGTAGGTTTAAATAACCACGGCACTTCAGAGTAACAGAAGTTTTCGTGGGAGAAACAAACAATAATGTGTGTTATGAGTGAGGAGCTAAATTTTGAAATTATTTGAATTTTGTAGACTCGATAGTCTTGGCGCCAGATATCGATAACCAAAGACATGTATTGCGGCAGAATTGTTTTAGTAGATGAAATGTAATTACCACCAGTGAGAGCTATGGCGATTAAATCACACGTGTCTTACGTCCAGTAAAACTGAAACTACGTGAATATTTTGAAAAACAAATGATAAAATAAGAACAAAAAAGGTTCTCTTACTTATGATGCCAGTACAGCCCGGCACTTGTAGACACAGGACTGTACAGCTGACTGTAAGGATAAAGCCCGAGATTGAGGACAAACGCTCGTTCGCCATGAGTCAACTGAAACACATCGAAAGTAAAATAGCCCTACCAAGGTGTCGGTCTCAGTATTTTAAGGCAGTGCCTCAGCTCTTGCACTTACATCTCTTCTTAAACATTGACGTTGTTTATTCAGACCTGAAATGTTACGTATAGCTTATTTTAAAATTTTGCGCTAAACTTGGGTTCAATTTCGGCGCTGAAACCATGAAGAATTATCCACAATCCAGTAAAACCAAAAAGTTATTTTGAGCTCAGTATAATCTTAACTTGAGCAAACCAGGACGTTGATTCTAAAAAAGAAAAAAGGAAACTGTTGTGAATTTGCTCTTCCTATAATATGGTGCTGAAGTAAGTCTTGTGACGTTTGTTAGAAGCGCTATTACCAACGATGACAAACTGCACTGAGGCAACAAGAAAAACAAGGCAGACAAGCACACAAGAACAGAAGCCATGATTCCTATAGTAACGTTTAGGTGACAATTGCATCTCTGTGGGTAGTTATGGTAGTATCAGGTTTTCTATTAGCTATATTGTCAGTATTAACATAATGAATGACACAACGAAGCAAGCCTTGCAAGTACCTTCGTTGACAGATGGATCTTAGCCAATAATTTATGGAACACACTTGGCGCGAAAGAGCTAAAGGAAATACTTCAATACCTTGCGATACAAAGTGTGATATACACAAAGAGGGTTAATCTGTTGGTAGGCCATCCCCGGCAACTTTTGAGCAACTTTTTGGGTAGCCTGCGTAGCAAGCGTTTCCGTTTGGTTTCGGAGCAAAGAAAGACCGAGGAACGGGATTCTCGGTTTTGGCCGCGCGAGAAATGAAACAAGAGCCAAAAAATGAAAGTGGGGGGAGGGGGAGGGGAAGGAAGGAAACGCTTGCAGACAAACCCCTCGATTTTGAAAACCTGCGTTCGCCAGCGAACGCAGCGCCTGATTGGCTCGGCTAGTCGAACAATGTTGACATGTGTCGATCAAAGGTTTGTTTCATACTGAGAGGACGGTATGGTACGTGACACGTACATTAATTTTCAGTGGTTGTTGGTTATTCTGGTCGGCAAGATTTGCCCTCCAATGCAAGAGCATTTTCTTTGACCTCTTTTGAAACTTAAGGTTCTCCTTGCGACTAAATCAGGGTTTCAGGTCGTTTGATTTATTCTCCATAATGCCTCCACAATTAAAAGCGATTTTCTTTTGTCCGCGAATGCGATGGTTTCTTGTAATGTGTCATGCTGGGCCCAGCTCGTTAGTGTTTTTTTGAGGAATGTTGAATTCTCTCAGATGGTGATTTACAGACTGTTATGCATGTTAGACGGATTAAAAAAACAAATGTCCAAAGCCTGTATTGATCGTTCGGATTCATTGATATTCAACATAAACGCCGTCCACGTGTTACAAAATACAAAAAAATACACTTTGGGTTCACATACGCGTCTTCTGAATTTCATTTCCGCTCCACTGAAAGCCAAACATTCTATTGGTCAATTATGACAGCTAATGACAGCATCAAACGTCGGTGCGAGAACTCAGGCGTGACAAGCCTAGTGGGCGGTTTTCAAAATCCCTGGGTTTGTCTGCAAGCGTTTCCTTCCTTTCTTCCCCACCCCCTCCCCGCTCTTTCACTTACGCCATTTTTCGCGCGGTCTTTGACTCTCGTTCCTCGTTCTTTGCTCCTAAACCGCACGGAAACGCTTGCTACGCAGGCTACTTTTTGGGGTTCTAGCAATTAACCTCGAGCAAATTTTGCCTTTCTGAGGAACTTTTGAGCAAAATATAGGTTTAGAGCACATATTAAGGACGAAGACGTCAACGATTTCATAGATAACTTCATTTTTTAATTATTTTTTTTTCTTGACCGATGTTAGTAATTATTGCGAAGAACGAAAAATAAAGCTTTTAATTAACGTTTAAATAAAAATATGATCAAAAAATTTAGGTGACAACTTTTGAAATTTAGGTAGCAACTTTTTTGCATTCCAGCGAGCAACTTTCTAGCATTTTACAAGCACAATCGGGAAAGGCCTATCTGTTGGTACTTGCTTTTCGCAGAATTAGAAATTCAAGTCATACACACTCCATGAAGCGCAGAAAATGGCTAGGGAAAAAGTGCGTCTTTCCATTATTAACTCAGTGCGCACTTCTTTAGTTCTTTCTTCCTTTCCTTGCAGTCGCCCAAAGTGGACTGTACAGAAGAGAGATAGATACCCGTCCTTAAGTGACTCTCAGCCTGAATTACGATGTTCTCAATGTAATGTTCTTAAATTCTCATTTATTAAAAACATAGGTAATTCTTCCAAATTGCACGGTATAAATTGCATACAATAAATTCATTTCTTGTTGAAACGTAAACAAAATTAGTAAAATTAAAGCTCAACAACAGTTATTTATTTAATATTTATTCCAATAGGGTTAAAATCAAAACATCAGTTGTCGTGAAAACCAGGAGGAAATCCTTGACTGACATTTATCGGTGATTTATTGCAGGGTCTACTGCGGTTACTTAATTTACTGATTCACAAGCTGTAAGGGATGAGTAGACTCTTTCACTTTGTGTCTGGAATAAATGGTGGAAAGAATTTGTTAAAAAAGGAAACTAAATGAAGAAATAATTACCGGATTAATAATCATGCCGTCAGACGCCAGAGAGGGAGACACTCCGGTATTCACTGACTCCAATTCAGACCAGAGCTCAAAGCTCGTCTGTATAGGGTTAAATGCTATAACTATTAAATGATTGAAGAGTATATAGTGTAACTGAGAAAAGATATTATGATAAGTAAACTTAGAAGCGTCTTCTTCTTCTTATAATCACTGTTATTTAAGGCAGCGTTCACAATTGGTGCCGGAGTCAGTACTCGCCATGAGGATAAATGTGAACCTTTTTTTCTTTCAAGTAGCAAGGCCAAATTCATGCACGGTGCTGGTTCCCGAGTGCATACTGTACTCTGGCACTAATTAATTGGGCACCAGGTCCCTGTATGCTCGTCGTCGTTTTTGATGGCTCCAGGGTAAATAAATCCACTGTTTTTACTCTAAGCTCAAGTTTCAAAATGGCATCTAACAGGGCGAAATGGACTAAAATTGCGCAAAGTTATATATCGGGTACTTAAGGTGTGGTACTCAAGGTGTGCCAATACCCAGGCACTGGTTGTAGGGCATCAAATGTCAACACCCTCTAAGTTGTAAATCCTTCACATAAGATGTTGGACTTACCATTGTGTGCACTGGTTCAACATGGTATTGTATTCACAATCCGTCCTGCGAGGATGTTGTGTTGAGTCGAGGACGAGTCTTATATCTCCGTTTTCATCTGACATCCCACTGAGTTGTATGGCCTCTGCACTCTGTGCTGGATTCAAAGAGCTGCTCTGATTTTCAAGCTGAATCCTGGATAAAAATGCAGCATTTTGTAGCATGAATTCTTTGATAATTAATTTTCTGTACAGAGTTCGGTGGAACTATACAGGCAAGTAAAAATCTTTCTTAACAATGACATCGCAATAAAAATGAAGATAGTGCAATGCGTGCATTGGGCAGTCCCTTGCCTACCTTTCAGAACCTTCACCTCTTGCATCTACATAAAAGTAGCAAACAGAAATAATTATAAACAACGTGCTAAACTTGATGATACGTTCTCTTTAAGTAACGATGAATAGGATAGTAACTGTTGCGCAGTTCTTTAGCTGTATTGGCACATTTTTATCTCAGTTTTGACAGGAACGCGCTTCTATTAATGTCAGTTTTACAGTTATTCTGAGTTTCCGTGAGTTTTAAAAGTTCTCTCTCATAACCAAACTGCAAACTTATCTTTGTCTTTCTTGCTTTTCTTTGTAAATTGTCAAAAGCACTTATTTGATTATCTAATTGTAACTTGATATAAATATTGAATTTAACTGAATTATGATTTTCCTTAATTATCCCACGAACTTGCCTCTAGATCCGTCTCTGCTCTGAGTTACGCGCCGTAAATTTATAACTAAGATTGCAGTAAATCCAAATGCCATAACAAGTACTGCTCCTTCGATAAAGACTGCCATTACCCATGACACTGAATCAGTTTCGTTACCACATCTTCTATCATCAACAGACGTAGATGGTACTGTATGAATTTTGTTACGATCTGTAGAGAAAGAAACAAAACAAGCTCTCTAACTATTTAGAGAAAAATAGAAAAATATATGAATGAACTGAAAGGAGACAGAAAGGCGGAGGACAGACGGTTGTTTGTTTGTTTTACTTGATACATTCAGGTTCTTCTTTGCAGATGAACTTGTCGCTGTGGTAGGTATGCTATTCTGCGTTATAGTAGATGGTGTTGTCTCAGCATAATAGTGCATACAAGAATCTTAAAAGGCTTTTAATGAAATATTATCAATTTCTTCGCAATGTGTCAGTCGGTAGAGCGCTTGACTGCAGAACGGGAGGTCGCGGGTTCGATTCCCGGGGTCGGACCAATACTCAGGGTCGTAAAGTAACTGAGAAATGAAGGTACTGGACCTTCGCGTGGCTCGTATGATCACGTAAAATGGTGGTCCCGTCTCCATTAGGAGACGTAAAATATAGTGTCCACAATTATCACTTTCGTGCTAAATACAGTGACACTCAAATAAACTGCATTTTTTGTTGGGGGGGCGTTGTGGTAACGAAACGGCCTGGCGTGCAGAAGGTCCCGAGTTCGATTGTAGGCAGAACCTGAGTTTTTTCGCTTTTTTCTTCCTTTTTCTTTACGTTTAGTCTTCTTTTTAGTTATATAGTTCTTTTTGTAGATTAAGTTTTTTCCTTCCCTTTTGCTTTATTTGTCTCATTCCCCTTTCATCTTCTTGCCGTTCTCCCGAAGTCCTTCGCAAGGTCCTGCGATTCACGTATTTCTTGTAGTATATTATTGTTGTACTCCGTAATCGGACGGACCTTGGACTGTTCGATCTGACGTTCTTACTTTTGGGTACCTGTGCTTCTGAGCCCGAAATCTCAGTCAGCGACTTTTCGGTGACCGTATGTAAAGGACCTAGCTTGTTGCAGGTTGCCGCCATGTTTTCTTGTATGCTTGTTAGTAAGAGATTAGCTGATTAAAACCTTAAGTTTAAAGGGCAATCGTCTTCTTTGCATAAAAAAATAATAATAATAATAATCAGCTATCTCAATGGACAAAGTTCTACGGCCGGAAGGCCTGGAAACTGATTCGAACAGCGAGAGAATGACTTCATTGGAAACGATTAACCTTAGAAAAATTGTGGCAGTCGTACCACGAGAGGGTCTCGACAAGGTCGAGGTATTGGCGAATTTCGTGTCCCCCGCGATCTTTCAAAATATGACGCAGGCGTTGGAATATTACAAGCTCTTTTTGTGAAGCGGAGAAAAGAGATTTTTACCCGTCATATTCTTGCCACACGGTGCCAGCAGCCTCATTTGAACACTTGATGAATACCTTCAAGCTCTCTCTTTGGAAACTCTCAGCAAGGACTGTAATTTCCAAAGTGTCACAGCTGCACAATATCGCTAAGAGAGTACATCCACTAGAGATTATTGGAGAGATTTGAAGACCATGTTCGAAACTCTCAGATCTGAATCGTATACAGTTCCTTCACCATCTGTGAACGGGCAGTCCATCCCACCCCTGCCCTCGTGGCAGAGCAGGTCCAGCCAGATCCCAACACCCTAGCTGCAGTAGAGTCTGAAGCCTCTAGTTGCTTCTGCTGTGGAAACAATAACCACCCCCGTTCGAAGTGTCCAGCTCGTCATGTAATTTGCTCAAAGCGTCAGAAGAGAGGCCAGTAGAAAGGTCTTCAAAAAATGTAAATTTTCTGGGACGGCCTGGTCGCCCACACTCGCTACAGTACCTGTAGGGACTCCAACATCTCTTTCAAAGTCATCAGGAACTGTTGATATTGAAGGAATACAAGTCAAGGCTCTATTCGATAGCGGTAATAGCGAGAGTCTTATCCGTCCTAAGTACCAGAGTTTCAAGCTGTCTGTTCTGAGTGAACTTTGCGCTGACCTCATCCTGGGAATTGATTTCCAATCGCAGCATTCAAGCGTCGTCTTCCATTATGGTGGCTCCGAACCACCCCTGTCTGTCGATGGGCTTAGTACACTGAAAGTAGATCCCCCTGAACTGTTTGTAAACCCGGCCGCGGATTGCCATAAAATTGCTAGTAAGTCTCGGAGATACAGTGAAGAAGATCAGTTCTGCCTTCATTAATGGCGAAGTGAAAAGATTGCTAAGAGAAGGCATAAGAGAACCAAGTCACTCACCATGGCGGGCACAGGTCGTAGTAATTACGGATGAGAATCACAAGAAGAGGCTAGCTATTGATTACTCACAGACCATAAGACAAGCCCTATACAACCTTAATTGAAGCTCGGAACAACCTCACAAGTTCACTCGCCTCAGTCCTTTGGCGTCACAAAGGGTGTATCTTGTTTTCAGAGAAAGATGGTGAAGTTTGTAGAGGAAAATGATCTCGAGGCTGCCTTTCCTTACTTTGGCAAGATTACTGTTCGTGGAAAGGACCAGAAGGAAAATGGCATAAACATGGAACACTTTCTTGAAGATTCCAAACGCAAGAACATTTGCTAAAACACTGACAAGTGTATTTTCTAAACCCGGCGCCTCCCTATCTTTGGATATGTCATCGAGGATGGAGTACCATTGCACCGCTCCTGATCGTCTACGACCCTTACATGAGCTTCCTGTTCCACACGACTCAACGTCCGTGAATAGGAGTCTGGGATTACTCTCCTATTACTCCCAATGGATTCCAAAATTCTCAGATCGAATCAGGCCTATTGCTGGATGCAAATCTTTCCCACTGACACAGCAAGCCATTGGAGCGTTTGAAAGTCTTAAGAAGATGCCGTAGTCAACGCAGTCGACGAGAGTATTCCATTTGAAGTTGAAACAGATGCATCAGAAGCAGCGCTAGCAGCAACGCTCAACCAGAATGGAAGACCCGTGGCGTTCTTCTCTCGAACCCTCTGAGGAAGTGAGCTAAAGCACGCGTCCATAGAGAAAGAAGCTTAGGCCATAATAGAGGCTGTAAGGCACTTTAGTCTAAAAACTGATCAGAAATAAGTGTCCTAAACCTCTGACAAGCATCACAGAGGAAATTAAGATAAAGAATGAATAATTCTTGCACTGGAGACTTTAACTCTATTGCTATAGTGTTGCGTTGCGTTGTTGGCTTACTCGTTGACTCTGCAAGGAAAATTGCACTGTTAGACGCGTCAAGCCTGAGAAAAGCAAGTACCCGCCTTGACGTTGTGAGCGATGTATAACCTGAAAAAATAATTAAGAAACTACGGCGGAGAAACTTTTTACTTGTTACTGGCTCAAAGAACAGAATTTAAAGTAATGATCTATTTATTCAGAATAAATTGAAACTGAGTACAAATTATTGACATGAGTAGAAAAAACGTTAGGAACAACTTACCTGTTGTTGAAGTTTTTGTTAGAGTCTTTGGCGCAGTTGTAGTGTCAGTTGAACAGTTTGCTGATTTCAGAACACCTGAAAAGGATATGGCGAAACGAGGGCATGAATACATGTACAGGGCGTAGAAAAAAGGAATACTTCGAGTGAATAGAAAGTATTAAGTATTCTAGAAGGCATATTACTTTTTCCATTGTGCTTTCGTCGTTTTTAGCTTCATAACCAATAGGCATTAGCAATTGTATTTCCACGCATTGTTGAACTGTGATATACCTTATAGTTTAATTTGTCATCGTGGCAAAACATATTTACACCAAATTGATAATAAAATACAATGAAATAATTGTTTCTTGTGTTTATACAATTAATTTGTCGTATAGGAAATGTACCAACTGTATAACAACACTTTAATGACAGAGTTGTTTCTGAGCCATACCATAGTTTGTTAGTATATATTCAACACATGACATGATACTCACTTTCACATATATACCCTTTGCTCTGTACAAGGCAAATCATCAAACAAACCATAGTTTTTGTTATAATCCTTGTACATTACAGCACACCTCTCTTTATTTTTATTTTGGGGTTCGTTTGGTGCCCAATAGGTTTCATTCACTGTGCTGTTATTACTGATCCACCTCCAACGCCAGTCTTTGTCTTTGGTTAAACCAATGTAGTATTCGGTTCAACTCTGTGGAAATTTGTTTACAGCGTCTTTCAGAAAGTTCCACTCCTCGTTACTTTCAATAGAAACAAGGTCACTTCCATAAACTTTGCAAGCTTTTCTGCTGTTATCAAAATCAAGTGAGTTCTGTCGAGATGTAGCATAAAATGTGTACCGGGAACAGCCGTAATGGAGCGTGTGGCCTTGAGAGAAAAAGAAATCATCCTAAGCTTAAGTCATTAATCATATGAAAGGAAGCAATAAATGAGAAATCTTCTTTCAATCCTGAAACAAAGTCTCTATCGTTATTTCTGCACGCGTTTTTGCGCTTCTAAAAGTTAAAATCATATTTCGATGTCCCATAAGAAATGTGTACTGGGATCAGCCATAAAGACGAGTCTGACCCTGAAGGAAAAATACTGTTTTTAAAAAACACAATTAAATTAAAATGATATTATTCTCTTTAAACAAGTATAAAAAAAGCTGTGTTTTAGGTATCTTTAATTGACAGGGTCGACAGTCGGTAGACTTTGCTGACTTTTGAGACTTCAACTACTGTACACTGACTTGAACACAATATACAAAAGCAAGTCATTAATTTATTCTAGTTTATGGTCTGAATTGCATTCCTTCCGGTTTGATTATGACTGTGCTGAATCAAGATAATAATTCACAAAATTTTATCATTAGAGACCAGCATCAAATATCGATTCAATTACTACAAGGTGTAAAATAGAAGTCATTGATTGCCTTGCCTCGTTGACACTATAGCAAGTTTCAGATCATCATGTATATCACTCAAAGTAGTACTTCCTTGAACTTGAAATCTGAGTCCTAGCAAACTGAGAACAGCGGTGATCTCAGCAAAACATGTCAACCGTTTTTCCATCATCCAAATATCAGTTTTAATCAGCCTGGTTTTAGAAGCAAGTATGCTGTACGGTAATGGCACTTCCAGATCGTGCTTAAAGCTTCAGTACTGAAGTCTTTGTTGAAACGGAATTAATAACCTTTCTCAATAAGCGGCACGAGACGTGATCACAAAAGCCTATTTTGTTTTAAAGTAGTGGGATCGAGAGAAGTAACGCTACCCAACAAAACCGGCTGATCGTGTATAGTAAGGCATTATGAGATGACTATGGTAGATAATTGCGTGAACTGGTCACTAGTAAAACTGATAATAACTTGATTAGCATTATCTATACAAAATTACTGTAAGAGTGAGTGAGAAATCTTTAGAATTTTATCTACTTCCTCCATAACTTTTTATCTGGTCTTCACTATATAAATTGATAATGTACGTGCATGTGCACACATCCACATGGAATCGGGAGCGTTGATCCCCTCTTGTTGACGCTCTAGTCAGGTTGTCTGCAACCCTCATCCTCATACCTTCTTTTTAATTTCTCTTTCTCCCTTTTCAGAAAATTAACAGTGAGAATGGGAAAAACTTAAATTAAAACACCGTGACAACGTTGTTCAGACTGAAATCAACACGGGGCATAGAGAAATTACCACAAAAAAAATTAGTTAATATATGCTTGTATGTTAGTGTATATATAATGCCTGGCCCTTTCAACTCATCCTCAGTTTCTTCAAAACACGAGGTAAGAGTCGTGCGGACAAGTCAACCCCATTTTCCACACATTTGAATTTATTTAAAATTTACAATTTAAGGAAATTTTAAGGCTTAAATTTTCTCTAAAATAGGAAGGTTCAGTCGTCCAGTCGGCTGAGCTAAGAAAATAAGTACTCTACGTATTTTTTTCTTTCACAAAATCATAATTCATATAATTATTTGGTTTTGTCAAGTCCTTTAGTTTGTACGTTCTCAGGTAACTGCATGAGAAGCCTCTCATAGAATTTCCCTGGCGATTGGCAGGAATTGCCGACTTTATGGGTGCAGCTAGATCAAAGAACGGTAAAACAGAAATTAGAAACTGTGTTCCTAGTTAAAACTTATTTGCACCAAGGTAGCATTAAATTTTCTTGGCCTTATAATAATGAATGCATCCTTAGTGCTTGCATTTTATCGGTGCTTTGCTGCTACACCTAGTTGATACCAAAAAGTTGAATCACGTAAAACACCTAAAAATTAACAAAATAATCATCAAAGCGACACAGGACGTACTAAATCACCGTAGAACTGGATTTATTACGAAAACTTTTTGGATTGTTGTCAACATTATAGATGTTTCTAAACCCGCCAACGGCATCAGTAAATTCCCTTTTTAATACCGTCGCTAGTTTGTTTCTAAATTATCATTCGTTCTTATAGCTAGACAACACCTCATCATGATCAAAAGATTTCAAAAAGCGTTAACAAGATATTTGCCTTGGATAGGACGTGCTTGATAGTTGAGGAACCTCAGAAACAGGGCTACAGCTGCCGCACATCCCGACACATCCCGCTATTTGTGCTGGAGCATAAACGGAAGTGTCGTCACAAGCGGAAGTTTAAGGAAAGAAACCTTCTTTGTCCTATTTTAGTTAGGTTGCGACGTGAGTGTTTTTAAACTAACTAAACTAACTAACTAACTAACGAACGAACTAACAAACTAACCAACTAACTAACTAAAATAGGACAGAGAAGGTTTCTTTCAAATGAGTTGAAACCATAATCTTGTATTAAACATGAACTACAACCCCGAATATGCAACATGAATTAAGACTTTTTTCTAAAAAATGAATCGTCCATAAAAAAGTGATCGGAAAAATATCGCTGTACACCGATCTCCAAGAGTTAGAAATACTCGATTCACAATAACAAGCGTTGAGAGACGATTTTCACCTACCTCGTGTAAGATCAAACTGGGTCAAACAAAGAAAAACAACGTCTTATTTATCAGGGCATCTTCAATTATAACCCTTTTAGTCAGGATACACTTCTTTATTATTTTATTTTAAATCTAAGATCAAACATGAATTTTTTTATGTAGTCTTTACTCTTTTAACATGTGTAGTTTTCAATTAATTGTGCTTAGCGTTCTAATCATTAGTTGATGTAAGCATATGCATGGCGCTACTAAACAGCACCATCATTATATTACATATTAGTAAAATCCAACTAGTGGTCTGTTATCAATGTTGCGTTCTGATTGGTTGAGCTACTACTAGGCTATATGTTATAGCCCACTAGTAGCGAAAAGCGCCGGCTTTTTGACGGAAAAAAGGATTTAAGTCTAGGTAAAGTTGTTTTGTCTCGATATTTTTGACCAACTAGTTGGATTTCACTAAAACAATTATTCCTCTCGCCCTCATGGCCTCTGGGTCAATAGCCCTTCGGCCTCATGGCTATTGACGTAGAGCCCATTCGGGCTCGAGGAATATAATTGTTAAGTGTTCATCGTTAACCCTGGGACGTACACGTAATGTCATACCCCCACAGTGGTACAAGGGGGGAGTGATGGAACCCTTGTCTAGAGTTTTTGATATGTTGCAGTATGTCGAAAGGATTTTGCTTTCAGTTGAAAGCCTTCTCAACAAGGTGAGGTATATTTTATCGGTGGTGGTGCTACTGGAGACCTGTGACGTCACCAAACATGGTCGTCAGCTTGGATTTTACCAAGAATTGGAAATCAGGTTAAAACTGTGCGAACTGGCAATTTTTTGTGCTTGACATGTAAAATAACACATAACTAAGTACTTTGCATCCATTTATCCACAAGCCTACTTCAATTGTTGAAAGAAGATGAAAAAACATGCATTTTCACTCAAACATGGCTTGACCTCCTGCTACTTATGACGTCATATCAGTAACCATAGTAACTGGCCATCACCAAACTTATCTCAAAATGCGCACAAGGGATAAACGAATTTGAACAGCAACTGAATACGTCAGGTGTCCGTCAGGTGCTGATGTTTTATTGTTTATATAGAGAAAAACTTCAGAGGAGGGGTGGCAACCGCCACCCCTGTACGTCCGAGGGTTAATGTACTTTATGTTTTACATTGTTGGTAGCCTTGGCTTCCATCCAGTCTTCACTTTTCTCTTAGCAGAATGATTGATGTCAGCGTAAACTGTTGAAGCGCATGCTCTGTGAACTTTCCCGTTTTTGTTGTTCGGTAAGTGGCTCATGTCTGCATACATGAGGTGGCCACTGGAGTAAGGGAGAGGTTTCTGTGTGAAAATAATAATAATAATAATAATAACAATAGTAATGAAACACACAATCAAAAACAAAACAGGAAGGAAGAGACGGTGCAAAATCCTTGCAAAAATGAGAATGAATATTGATTTATTTATTCATTGGTCAATAACCGGATCAAAATTATAGAAATGCTATGTTAACGTTGTGCACTGTCAAGTCCGCAAAAACATATACCAAAGGATATAGAATATCAGCAACTCCACAGCGATAAACCAATGAGTGGTGCCGGATCTCTCAGTTGTAGACCTGGATCAGTACAATAACAACTTATAGAAAAGTATGACACGGCAAACTGATCCTTACGGCAAGGCGATGAAGAAGTAAACAAAAGAATAAAACGAAAAGTATATATTTAAACAAATTTGCCCAATATTTAATAACAAACCTTCTTCAGTGGCCAAAAGAAAAATGAAGATAAAACTGAAAGTTCGTTCCAAAAAAATTGGTGGTCTTTGGTGATGAGCTGAGGAGGCAATTAATTTGTTGCATTCCTACTTTACTGGTCAAAAGCGAAGAGTTAAGGTTAACAGAGTTTTAATTGGTTACCGGTTTTTTGTGGTGTTCCTCAAAGCAGCCTCCTGGGGCCACTCTTGTCTAACATATTCATCAACGATCTGAACCCTGAGGCTCTACGATGATAACACTACGACGCTGATGCATCCGATAACAACATTTCAGCTTTGGAACTATCTCTTAATCAAGATCTTAAGAATCTTTCACAGACATCCTGGTTTGCCTCAAATTACTTGTTAGTCCATGGTAAGAAAACCCAAGCGCTCTCAAGTAACTATTCCTCATGGCGATTCTGCTATCGAAATCAAATGGTTTCCTGAAGATTCTTGGTGTTCATATCGAAGATAAACTGTTCGGCCTTTAAAGACAACCTATCAGCTGTTTTAAAGAAGGTCTATGCTAAGACTGGAGCTCTGAGACGACTAAGAAAGCTGGTGCCTGTTGACATCTCCCTTAATTATGTTGTACAAGGCTTATACACCTCCATACCTTGAATACTGCAGTCCACTATAGCTACTATTAGCAATTAACAAAACTCGGAACAAGAAACTTGAATCCGCAAACTATTATGCTTTAAAAGCCCTAACAGCCAGTTGCAAATGTAAGTATTGTATGTGTTAGGGTTTTTAGCTTATCTTATATTCAAAATCGATTTATTCTTCCACTGAGTGCGATATTCATAGTTTTTAGTAAGCAGGATGGAGGAGGGTGTTACTTGTGTACTTCTTACATATGCATTCCCGGATACATTAATTTTTATCATTGTCTTATTATACACTTGTCACCTGTTCAATTATTATAATTTTCAGCAGTATTGTATCACCGGGTATCATTTATTATATTTTTATAACACAAATAAATTGATTGTATTTCATATTGTATTGTATATAATAAAGAGTGTGAAATTCCCTTAGCATCCGTGAAAAAAGGTAATGTTGAACATATAATCATTCAAAGATATCAGCCAAGCGATCAATAGGAACTAAGTGGTTTAAAAGTACCTACCTTAGGAGCCATTTGTTTCTTTTTTGATTTGTCAACAACTGCATAAAAGTGATCGTTGCACTCAGTTCCGCTATTTGGATACTGTCCACTCATGGCCTCGTTGCTGTTTATTTCTTTTCTTTTCTCCAAAAATGAATGATTCAAATCCTCCACAGGATCCTCACCCACTGTCGAACACTCTTCTGTGAAGGTAACGTCCGGGCTCACATCCGGAGAAGCTGTTGTTTTACAAAACATGACCGCTCTACTTTCTTTAACAAGCACGTTGGCGTAAACATGGTGTCCTTTTTCCTTTTGATCGTTGCCTTTATCACACCTCTCTGTATTCTTCTTCAATGCTGATTGGTTTGCTGCGGTGTGATCATCATTTGGGGGCGATTGCACTCCTTCTCCATCAGAGCTGGATGGACCTCCCTGATCACACTTGGATTTTCGCATATCTTCATCTACAACTGCGTACTCTTCGTTGCTTTCTTTAACAGTCTTAATAGTAATACGTTCTTCCTGTGCTTGTGTCATGCTAAAATGAACTGTAAGTTCGGTAGAGCTATGCAGGCTATGTTTTGGGTCTCTGGGTTGTTTTCCTGACTGAGACGAAACTAAAAGAAGTGCAAAAGAAGACGATATCGTTAAAGGAACAACAAGTCTGTATGACGTCAAGTCTATGTACTCCTAAATTTAGAAAGGAGAATGGTAGAAAAGGCATTTCTGCTTAAAGGACTATGTTTTTTATGATTAACAGAGTCGTGAAAGAGTGTCAATTTACTTTTCTTATGAACTCAATTCCAAACGATTAGTCTTGTGTTCCTTCTACCATCGGGCAGCACCATGGCTACGTGACATGCAGTTTCGTTTTAAAGGAACTATTTCCTTTGATCTTTAAATCGTATTTCTTGGGAACGAGCATAGTTCGGTTGCGATAACATTTTATACAATGATGTGAATGCTACGCGCGCTGTGATTGGTCGTTGCCCATGATCTATTAGAGTACAGATACATAGATGACGTCACGGGAAACTTGTTTTCTTTGTTTTGTTCAACATGGCACGCGGTTTTGAAGATGTTTGTGAGATTATTTCGGATTGAGGCAAGTGAAAGCATCGGAAAAAGTTTAGCAGGAGCTATTTACAAAGAAGAAAAATGGAGAAACGGAGACCAAAAAAGCTATTGCAAAAAGTGTTGTTTTCTATCAAGTACTGTAAAAAATGAAATTCCAATCAACTGTGATCAAATGAACCATCTAAAACCCGATGAAGAATGCAATCCGCCTACGCTGAACGGAAAAAACTATTTGACTAAATGACTATTTGACAATGCCTAAACTACAAGAAATCTTCACAACAGTTGCCATCGTGTGTCTTCGCTACGAGAGACTCGCTGTTTTGCAAAATGTTTTCGCTATTATTCTTCGTTGAGCAAGAAAAGACGGTGAAAAACTTTTCGAAGAAACTGTACAGAAGTAAGATAAAGAAGAAGCTAAGATGAAAAGTTGGGTTTGGGACTTAAAAAATGCCTAAACTAGCACAAATCCTCAAAAGGTCAAGCGGTTCGAGGCAGGTATGTGTATCGGTCTTTTTCTTTTCTGATCATTGTATAAAACAAATAGATTCCGTGTTGCCGTGGTTCTGTTCAGTAATAGATCACAGAGGACGTCAAAATGTGGTAAAAACAACAGTGACACACTCGCCTGCGGCCCGTGTGTCACTTCTTTGTTTTTACGACATTTTGAGGTCATCTGTGATCTATTACTGATCAGACGCACGGCAACATGGAATCTATTTGTTAAACAAACTTTTCAGAATTAAAAACAAAATTCTACGAACGGAATAACAAAGAGTACCTTTCGCTTTGTTTCTGCGACGTCGCTGAGAAAAAATGATGAAAAATACAATCAAAAGAGCCAGTATGATAACAGCTAGAAGAATTAAGATGATTACAGTGATATCAGGAGATTCATCGATGACTTCCTCAGGAACTGCCGCTGCAAAAGTAGAAAGACAACGAAAATTTAAAAAAAAAAACTTCTTTCCCCTTAATCACCCCATCCATCAGAAGTTACATATTAATTAAGCTTAACTGAACAGGAATTTCTTCTAAATTCTGTTTCCCTATTGCCATAGGCGTACGGGCCGGGGGGGGCGAGGGGGGCTGCAACCCCCAAATTTTGGGCAACTCAGATTTTTTGGGCAGCGAGAGAAAATTTGGGCAAAGCCAGTTGTTAAAGACGTCTCCATGTTTATTTAATTATTTTAAAGATCTGAATATTAACCTGAAGTCGGCGTAATAATCCAGTTACATTACTTAACAGTGGTTGCCTAGCATGTGATGAGTAATTTACATATTTGCAGCTTTTTTTTTGGTTGGGCACTATACTGCACTGCACTAGCTGGAATGGGCTATTTCCAGTCGTGAATTGATTAAAATAAACTTTCGCATAACTTTCTAGAATAATCTCTACTCGAAGAACAGAGTATGGCAGATAGCATTTAGCAATGGGTACACTGTAAATTACGAAGATCTGTTTCAGCCCCAAAGTGTCAATTCAGCCCTGCAGGCCAAAGTCTGATTCAGCCCTTCCTGGAGCCATTTGAGAAAAATTTAGGCCAAAAAAGCTCTATCAAAAGGCTATTCCAGCCCACGGTAGGGCCCATTTCAGCCCTAGGACCAAATCAGCCCTAGCTAATTGGACTGTATTGACCCTGATTTAAAGGAGCCAATTTAGACCCAAAAATAGGACTGTATTTTACTCACCGAAACGGCCCTGTTTTTAGGGCTAAAACAGATCTTTCTGATTTAGAGTGTATGAAAATGAAGAAGTGGCTGACTAATTCTCAGTTTGAATTACGAGAAGAATTTTAATTCTTTTAAAAAATCTATCGAGCAGTTTAAAATTATTCGCTAATTTGTTAAAGTAGACCGAAATGTTTACAAAACCGCTAACAAGAGTGTCTCGATACATACTCATCAAATCCTTCTTTCGATTCTAGCAATCAAGCAGATCTGAAAGCAGAGCTATCTCCACGATCTTTCAAACATGTTTTTAAAAAGATTAAAACTACTATGAGGTAAAATTGCAGGTCAAAAGCGCTTCGTTTTCTACAGATAATGGCCAAAAATCAAGATTTTCCTGTTCTTACCGTATTTCTAATAAGTAAAAACTTCATTTCAAAATATCTCGATAACGCTCTTAAGGTTTTGCTTAAACTTCACGAACATCGAGGCGACCGTATTGGAGAAAAAAGCTCCTGTGAACGGTTCCCGTGCCGGGAATCGTTGCTGAAGTAAAATAGGTAATGGGCGGGGGGAGTCATTTCGTTGCTATGACAACTCCGATGTCATTGCAACCCTGATGATGACAAATTTTCATCTTAACCGTATTTTCATCTTAATCGTATCGAGCCACCTTCATATGCCAGGACGGCCTATGTTGTTGCAGTATGGCCCTCATTTCTTTTCGACTCTTTCGTAAAAATTTCAGCAACTTGCGAGATTTTTTTGGGCAAACGGTTTACCGCCCCCCGTGGCAAAAAATTTCTCGTACGCCTATGCCTATTGCAGGTTACACAACAAAGGCTTTATTAACTTGACCGAACTTGTACGTTTCCAGCACTTTTTTTAAGTAATTCTCCCAAAAAACATTAATTAATTTCATGATGGTTTGGCTGTAGTATGCCAATCACGCAAAGAAATCTATAGATACACCTACGTTTTGGGTTTGTATAGGTAACACGGGTGTTTGTCTTTCTGTATGTGTTCGGGACGGGTTCTGTACTGGGCTCTTCAACGCTGAACAGCTTGTGAGATGACGTGGCCTTTGCTTTTTCTGTTAAAAGTGTGACAGGAAAAGAAACATTCAGCAAAAACAGGCATATTTGTGCAACAGCGTGTAATGACCTATTTAAGTAGTTGGATGACATAAGATGAGCCAAAGCAAGAATCCGATTTATCCTCTCCTGGCTACCGCTAGGCTTAACGAATGCTGAGTACACAGCCGGAAGCAGAAGGAAGGGGATATCCCCAGAACCGCATCAATGTTCTTGGAGAAAACTGACCGACTGACTTCGCCCCCTGCAAACGTCTACTGACATTCGTACACTTGATGAATGTCTCCAGAAAGGCACGTAAAACAACAGTAAGACTTTAGTAGTACTTTATATGGTAAACAGTAAATTGTTCGTACTTATTATCGTAGTAATTGCCTTTGAACCGTCATTTGTAGATCGGCTCTGTGCGAAGGAGGTAGCTAGCATAACGAGCTGCACGGTCTTAGCAACCAAAAAAACCCCTCAGTATCCAGCTGAGATAGCTGAGTAAAAGTCAGCTATCTCAGCTGGATACCCAGTAGCTTGCAACATTCCCTATTCCCTTAATCTCTGATCGTATTTCGCATCTAATATGATAGAGGCGTCAATTTTCACGCAATCATGTCATCATCCTGGGGCGACAAATAAAATTAATTAAAAATGCGGTATCAAACAAAATGTCCGGAAAAAATAATTCAGTGCCTTCTAAAAAAAACATTTTAAAGTCTGCGGTCGATTTCATTGCCAACGTGTTATATATCCTAGAAGCGCTCAGGCATAATAACATCATGCCAGGACTTCTACCTGGGTGAACCAGAAAGGATATAGAACAACAGCCTAATTTCTTTTTTTCGGCTACGGATCGAAATGCTAAACGTGTTATATATCCTAAAAGCGCTCAGGCATAATAACATCATGCCAGGACTTCTACCTGGGTGAACCAGAAAGGATATAGAACAACAGCCTAATTTCTTCTTTTCGGCTACGGGTCGAAACGCTAAACATGTTATATATCCCAGAAGCGCTCAGGCATAATAACATCATGCCAGGACTTCTACCTGGGTGAACCAGAAAGGATATAGAGCAACAGCCTAATTTCTTTTTTTCGGCTACGGATCGAAATGCTAAACGTGTTATATATCCTAGAAGCGCTCAGGCATAATAACATCATGCCAGGACTTCTACCTGGGTGAACCAGAAAGGATATAGAACAACAGCCTAATTTCTTTTTTTCGGCTACGGATCGAAATGCTAAACGTGTTATATATCCTAGAAGCGCTCAGGCATAATAACATCATGCCAGGACTTCTACCTGGGTGAACCAGAAAGGATATAGAACAACAGCCTAATTTCTTTTTTTCGGCTACGGATCGAAATGCTAAACGTGTTATATATCCTAGAAGCGCTCAGGCATAATAACATCATGCCAGGACTTCTACCTGGGTGAACCAGAAAGGATATAGAACAACAGCCTAATTTCTTTTTTTCGGCTACGGATCGAAATGCTAAACGTGTTATATATCCTAGAAGCGGGCAGGCATAATAACATCATGCCAGGACTTCTACCTGGCTGAACCAGAAAGGATATAGAACAACAGCCTAATTTTTTTTTTCGGCTACGGGTCGAAACGCTAAACGTGTTATATATCCCAGAAGCGCTCAGGCATAATAACATAATGCCAGGACTTCTACCTGGGTGAACCAGAAAGGATATAGAGCAACAGCCTAATTTCTTTTTTTCGGCTACGGATGGAAATGCTAAACGTGTTATATATCCTAGAAGCGCTCAGGCATAATAACATCATGCCAGGACTTCTACCTGGGTGAACCAGAAAGGATATAGAACAACAGCCTAATTTCTTTTTTTCGGCTACGGATCGAAATGCTAAACGTGTTATATATCCTAGAAGCGCTCAGGCATAATAACATCATGCCAGGACTTCTACCTGGGTGAACCAGAAAGGATATAGAGCAACAGCCTAATTTCTTTTTTTCGGCTACGGATCGAAATGCTAAACGTGTTATATATCCTAGAAGCGCTCAGGCATAATAACATCATGCCAGGACTTCTACCTGGGTGAACCAGAAAGGATATAGAACAACAGCCTAATTTTTTTTTTTCGGCTACGGATCGAAATGCTAAACGTGTTATATATCCTAGAAGCGCTCAGGCATAATAACATCATGCCAGGACTTCTACCTGGGTGAACCAGAAAGGATATAGAACAACAGCCTAATTTCTTTTTTTCGGCTATGGGTCGAAACGCTAAACGTGTTATATATCCCAGAAGCGCTCAGGCATAATAACATCATGCCAGGACTTCTACCTGGGTGAACCAGAAAGGATATAGAACAACAGCCTAATTTTTTTTTTTTTCGGCTACGGGTCGAAACGCTAAACGTGTTATATATCCCAGAAGCGCTCAGGCATAATAACATCATGCCAGGACTTCTACCTGGCTGAACCAGAAAGGATATAGAACAACTGCCTAAATTTTTTTTTTTTGCGGCTACGGGTTGAAATGCTAAACGTGTTATATATCCTAGAAGCGCTTAGGCATAACTATATCATGCCAGGACTTCTACCTGGATGAACCAGAAAGGATATAGAACAACTGCTTTTTTTTCCTACGCGTCGAAGTTCTAAACGTGGTATTCTTAGAAGCGCTCAGGCTTACTAATATGCCAGGTTTCCAGCGACTGATTTTAGCTGATTTTGCGGTACGCAAGAATGGATAATTTACCCGACTTGTAAACAGATATTTCCTTCAGCCGATTGTGTCTCATGCAGGAGAATGTCATGTCTGCGTTGTTTTGTTTCTACTGAAGTTTTATCAAAGAAAGCTTAATAGGGAGATCGCAATTTATTCTCTTACGAACTATAAATTAGGGCTGACCTGGAAGACGCGTTGAATTGTGCCGCCATCCTTCAAAATATAATCTGGCTGCGTTTAGGGAGACAATTTCCTCTTCCATCCAGATTTACTTGGTATATGTGTTTGCGAGAATCTTCAGACAAAGAATTGGGTATACACTGATTCGAATGGCTTGGCGATACTAAGTGCTTAAGTCTACTTACCGATTACAACATGTTTTGGAAGTATTGAGAAGCGCGCCAAACGAGGTTGTCACAGCGTTCTCGAGCGAACACGGCGCGACCTGGATTGATAAAATTACTTTTACATGCAGCTATCATGCCAGTGATTTCTCCTTTCGTCGCATAGTGAATAGTTTGTGAGCACATCCTCGACTCTCGAAACATTTGTCTTGCGCCGCTATAGAAGTTGCTTCTCCCGCGAACCATAGGTAGATTTCCCGCTTAACATAATGTTTGATAATTTATGCAAAAGTTGACCTCGTGAAAGTCAGCAGTACATTAATCGACTCAAAAATAAACAGACTTCCTACAGGGTTTTGAACACGGTTTTAATTAAAGTACTTTACGAGCGCTGCGGTAGTTGACCGCAAAAGTGTTACAGGGATGGATACTCAACGGGACTCTGTAAAGTGCGGATCCGGACGGCGGATCCGGACGGCGGATGCGGACGGCGGACGGCGGACGGCGGACGGCGGACGGCGGACAATAATAAAAAAATAAAAAAAATAAAAATAAAATAAAACAAAATAGACGTATAAAATAAATAAACGAGCAGTGTAAAATGGGGTTGACAGGCCTACACGACTCCCCAGAGCATACGAAATATTCTATAGAAACGAACCTCCTATCCCTACACAACTACTAAAACGAGCGCTAAGGCTAATTCTCCAAGAGAACTCTTTCCAGTTTAATGGAAAAAACTACCTTCAAACACATGGTACGGCCATGGGCACGAAAATGGCAGTCGCCTTTTCTAATATATTCATGAACAAGGTAGAGACGGAAATCCTTAGCCGAAGCCTTTTCAAACCGCTCGTTTGGAAACGTTATATAGACGACATCTTCTCGCTCTGGACTACAAACAGAGCCAGAATAAAACATTTCATTGAACAAGCAAACAATCATCACCCTACGATCAAATTTACGGCTGAAATTTCCGATAAGGAAACAACATTCCTGGACACCTACATCTACAAAGGGGAAAGATTCGAAAGAGACGCAATCCTTGATGTGCGTACTCATTTCAAACCAACTGAGACATTTCAGTATACCCATTTTGCTTCCTGTCACCCGCAAGGAGTTAAAAAAGGCTTCATTAAAGGGGAAGCCCTCCGACTCCTCAGAACAAACTCTTCCGAACTAATATTCGAAGAGAAAATTACAAATTTCAAAGCGCATCTGCTACAGAGGGGTTACCCAGAGGATCTTATTAACACAACCCTCTCAGAGGTGAACTTCAAAGACAGGAAACTAGCCCTTCAACAGAAACCAAAGACAAACCAACGAATCTTGCCTTTTGTCACACAATACCAACCATCAGTGCCAAACCTAAAGCAAATTCTCATGAAAAACTGGCATTTAATAGAACAACAACCATTACTGAGCGAAATCTACAAAAAACCGCCCCTCGTATCTTATAAAAGAGGGCGGTCGCTCAAAGACATACTCGTGAGAGCCAAACTATAGAAAGGCTATTTTAAACACGCGCTGGGGAGTCGTGTAGGCCTGTCAACCCCATTTTACACTTATACGTCTATTTTATTTTATTTTATTTTTATTTTTTATTTTATTTCTATTATTTTTTTTTTTTTTATTATTGTCCGCCGTCCGCCGTCTTATTCATTTATCTCGTTTATTTATTTTATACGTCTATTTTGTTTTATTTTATTTTTATTTTTTTATTTTTTTATTATTGTCCGCCGTCCGCCGTCCGCCGTCCGCCGTCCGCCGTCCGCATCCGCCGTCCGGATCCGCACTTTACAGAGTCCCATACTCAACTGGATGATTACGTCACTTCATAGCAACCAGACGGTACGAATTTTTTAACTTCCGGAGCGCTGAGGCTCGTAGTGTGTGGCCTTGTAGCAGCTAATGGCTTGTCGGTTTCATATAGCGTTATTGACTTTGTCAGTAGTGTGAATGAACTTTCGCGCGGAATATCATAATAGAGAAACTAAGAGTGACGTTTACGGCAAAAGGGCAAACGTAAATTTGTACTTGAAACGAACGTTTGCCGTTTGCCATTGCATAAACGTGACTCTCTCTAATAATTCAAAGTAGATAGACTGCACAGCAGTCTGTATTACTACGGAGAAAGTTTCCAACTGTTGGCTCAAACAACGCTTTAAAGTGATGATTTATTTTTTTCAGAATAAGGGCCTGTTTATAGGGAGGTGGGGAACCCCAGGTAGGTGAGGTGACCTGCTTAGGTGGGGTAACCCGCCTGTCCATAAAATCTCTCATTTTAATTAATTGATCACGGTACGTTTACACGATAGGCCTAGGTGGGGTGACCACCACAGAACGAAAAAGAAGAATTCGTAAACTTTAACATGGCGGGAACAGGAGACTCCGCCGCGAAAACACAGCACCAATCGTGTGTTTCCGTTAGCAGATACATTACGGTTATTCATGTTTCCCGTCGCTGCGTTTACAACGTAACAGGAACACTTTTTGACATGTTTCCGTAAGATTTCCGTTTCGAGGATCGCATATTTCCGCAATCATGATCATGTGAATAAGTTGCGAAAACGCGAAATTACGTTCGGAAACCTGTTTGTTTCATTCTTTCTTTCGGCGGAAACGTGAAGTTACGGCCCGGTAACGTGTCTTTTTTATGCTTGGGTTTCCGTCCGTTTCCGGTGCCTTAACTACGTCAATGTCTCCAAAGAGTTATTCTCATTAATTAAAGCAGAAACCAATTTTTCTTGTCCTTAACATTTATAGGTTCAACTTCATAAATTCTAGACAGTCGGCGGTGAGTTACCCCACCTAAGCGGGTTACCTCACCTACCTGAGGTCTCCCCCCTCCATGTTAACAGGCCCTAAGGACTGATGAGTAACGCGAAGTTTAAATGAGTAAAACATTAGTTAGGAACAAAATTACATTAAAGTTGTTGAACTCAAAGTCATAAAAACTATTTTAACTTACCTGTCACTAAAGTTTTTGTTAGACCCTTTGTAGATGGTGCAGTTTTAGCTACAGTTGAACAGTTTGCTGTTTTCAGAACATCTGAAAAGGTATGACGAAACAAGAAAAGTGAAATAGGACGTAAGAATTAAAAATGCTTTGATTCGTTGAAATAATGTAATATTAATTCTAAAAGGCACTATATATGATATTAGTTTGTTCTTGTAACTCATATTGTTCTGTTTTCAACGTTGTGTTAATCATGATATGTAAATTGTTTGCTATATTTTTACGCATTAACTGAATAATAATATACTCCAATAGTATGAGCACTGATTTGTTATTTCAGATACCTTTTTCATCTTGGCAAAATATATCTACACAAAGTTGATAATAGAATAGAATGAAATAATTGTTTCTTATATTAAGACTATTTAAGTTGTCGTATAGAAATGCAACAACTGTATAACAACAGCTTTCACGACACTTAATAAAAATATAACAGAGTATTGTAGCAATCAAAACCACATGGCATGGTACTCACGTTCACATATATAGCCATGCCTTTTAAAAGAACAGGGCAAATCATCGAACAAACCATAGTTCTGTTTAAAATCTTTGTACATTACTGCACACTTTGCAACTTTTTCTTTATCCCTGGGTTGGCCTTTTGCCCAATAGGATTTACCCACTGTGCTGTTATTACTGATCCACCTCCATTTTCCGTGTTTGTCCTTGGTTAAACCAATGTAGTATTCGGTTCCATTCTGTGGAAATTTGTTTACAGTTTCTTTCAGGAAGTTCCACTCCTCGTTACTTTCAATAGACACAAGATCACTTCCGTGATCGTTGCAGGCGGCTCTGCTCTTATCAAAATCAACTGACTTCTGAGATTCAGCATAAAATGTGTACCGAGAACAGCCGTAAATGAGCGTCTGGTCTTGAGAGAAAAACAAATTATTTCACCTTAAAGTAATTGATATAACAATAAAACATTATCTTGAAAGATTTGTTCTTGTTTTTGTTTTTCATGACAACGATGTATTCTTGGGATGGATTTAACGTTCGGTAGGCTGGTATATCAATTATTCAGTTCCATAATATCGTGTTTACGTCTATGTTACTTTTCTAATTACAGACCACAGTTCTTTGTGTTTGTAAACTGGAATGTTTAGCACAGGTCCAGCTACATGTACTCCTTCGCGAGTGATGCGCCGTGACCCTAAAAACGGTTGCGAAGGAGAATAAAAGCTGCATGAAGTGTAAAACTTCATTCATCACAAGAGCTAATTGAGCTTTTCGTAATAACGATCGAGGGTATATGTTGTATCGGGGATCAATTACATGTTGCAATTGTACTTAATGATGGGGAAGACGATTTGAAGTTATTCGTTATGACGATGAGGTGAGTCGTTGAGAGAAGCCTGGTTGTTCTATCTGGTTCCCTGCTAGCAGAGGTCTCTCACGACGAGGCAAAAATGGGAGGCATTTTTGCCTCGTCGTGAGAGACCTCTGCTATCTGAGTGCCAGTGTACAAAACTATTGGGGACGAAAAAACGGCTTTTCTTTGTTTTTACAAAGAGTCAAAAAATAATCCCAAGTTGCACTGTAACTTAAAAGAGTCTTAAAAGATAGGAATTAATTGCTGCTGAAGTGAGAAGAACGAAGTTCGAGCTCACTCAATGATTTGGCCATTTCGGGTCCATTTTGCGCAGAAACAGTAACCAAATTTACAGAAAAGCTTCATGAACGTGAAGTGCAGGGCTCTTGGTTTGCTCACAAACTCTATTGCGGAAGCAGCTAGCGACACTCATAGTCTGCAAGGCGTTTTTTTCTTTGTATTTAGTTCACAAAACGACGGTTGTGGTCCCAGGCGTTCTTAGCGGAGACCGTGGAAACTGAGAATAAGAATCGTTGCCTAACCGAAGCTTAGGAGAGAAAGAAAGAAAGAAAGAAAGAAAGATTAGGTTTAGAGCTTTTCCAGAACGGTTCTGTCCACGAATTCTATCGCTTGAAAGCGTTGATTACTTTGGGACAAGTGAACACTTCGGTGGTCGAAAAAAAAAAAGACAAGAATCTTAATTAGGAAAATTAAAGACTAACTGGTCGGGTGTTGTAAACTTTCAATGTATGCAAATTAGTCTTGTGATGAGCATGCAGTTTATTTTCGGTGATGATTGAAATGACGCGCCATGTTCTTATCACGTTTTTCTATCTCTGTTGATGATGTAATTTCTCTCGAATCGAGGCCCTTGAATTTTCGGGTAACTATACACTAGCCTGCGTTGCAGCCGGCCTACGCACACGTTTCAACCATTTGTATAGTCTGTCTGCGAATTAGTGCGCAAAAGCTCGTTCTAATATCCTGCAGAGTCGCAAGAACATATGTGACTGAGCGTTTCTGATAGGCGGGTTTCTTACGGGTTTCTTATGCGCCTCACGATTGGCCTAATTCTTACGTGTGCGTGACGGTTGGGCGCAGTGACATATCAAAACTCACAGAAGGGAGTTGGCAAGGATCGACAAACAGTAAACAATGAAAGAGCAGTTCGAACTTTAAAGCCTACTTCTGAACAAAAAAAGCTTTGATAGAATCCCTTCAAGGCCAGAATTTGCTTGTAAAATTTGCCGACTGGTTTTCCAGCGTGTTCCAATCGCTGCAGATGCACTGCCACGTATTCTGCAATCTAGCCTACAGTTCTAGCGTCAAAACAAATTAGGAAATCATGATATTCACAGCCAAAAAAAAATACAGACATGTAGCTATTCAGGTCCAGGCATTTCGGAGAAAACCAAAGAAACTAAGGTTATTTAGACGCAATAAAAAAGCTTAAGGCTTAAAAAGGTAAAAGAAAATCATTTAATGGTAAACTGCTCATGTGATCAAATCCTATCAGAAAACATCTGCAGACCACGAGACCTAATTACTCACTATGCCGCACGGAACAGACCGGCTTTATAACCTCTAAGAGTGAGACTCAAAGCGGCAAAACAAAATTTGCTCAGTGAAAGTGTAGAATACTCCATGCAATGCGTAAACTACGCAGAAAGAGAGCCCGAAAGAGAGCAAGAAAAACCTCTGTTGTTCAAGCCGACTCTAAAGTCACGTTTCACACTATCACGAGCTCAATCTCTCTTGTCACGAGCTATTAGTCGTGTTTGGCTTGTCAACACTTAATTCAAATCGGACTAATCACAATGCAAACTGCGTAAGAAACTAGCCAATCAAAAACGACGAGATATGTCGTTACGACTCTGCGGGATTCGAACACGATATTGTGCACTAATTCGCAGACGCTCTATATACAGAAGGTTTAGAGCATTAGAGCATGGATAATAGAAAGACCAGTCTTTCTATTATCCATGTTTAGAGCGTCTGCGACGCTAGACTACGAGCAGTCTCGCGCGCGCGTTTACTCCTCTTACTAAATCTGAAGAAAGAGAGAGACTGTTCGCAGTCTACTACGACGTAGGCAACTATACACGTGTATAGCCTGCGACCGCAGACCTAATTCCGGTCGTCGCTAACACGCGTACTAAATCAATTCAGAAACATTCCGTCTAATACGATATAAAAAGTAAATGTCCTGAAATACTCGACCGTCGATAAAATAAAGTAGGAGGTGAGAAACTTTTAGCGAGTAAATCCTGTATCGTGTAGAATTAATCACCTCCTTATTTCTTATCCAGTCTCCAAGCAAGCGAGATGAGACCCGATTTTAAGAGCGTTCTTGTTTGATTTAATTCATTTCTTGCTGTCGCCGTTCCAGTAAGGTTTTGAATGTCTGAATAATCTGTTAAAAAAGAATACACCGCCAACGACGATTAAGAACCCTATTTATACCAAACTTACTGCAAATTATATACTCCTGCGTCACTATAACCGAACTAAGAGCTGCTTTGACTTGATTTGTGCGTGTTAAGCTTTTAATAACCACGTCAGAGTAACAAAAGCTTTTATGGCAGAAAATTACAGCAACGTGTGTTAGGAGTGAGGAGCTAAATTTTGAAATTATTTGAATTCTGTAGAGTCCATAATTTTGGGGCCTGATATCGATAACCAAAAGACATAAGCAGATTTTGGTATTGTGGAATTGTTTTAGTTATACTGAAATATTAATTTTCACCACAGCTATGAAGATTTAATCTCACGTATCTTTCGTCCGGTGACCAAGGCCTAGCAAAACGTATTACAAAATGAAATAAAGCTGCGTAAATATTCTGAAAAAAGAAAGGTAATAGTAATTATAAAATAAGAACATAAAAGGCTGTCTTACTCATGATACGAGCACTGCCCGGCACTTGTAGACAAAAGACTGTAAATATAAACCCTGAGATCGAGGACAAACGTTCTTTCGCCATAAGTCAACATCAAAAGTAAAATAGCCACGCTACCAAGATGTCCTTCTCAATATTTTAAGGTAGTGCCTCAGCTCTTGACATTAATGTTGTTTACTCAGACCTGAAATGTCACGCATAGCCGTTTTTCACGGCACGTAACCTTGGGTTCAATTTCAGCGCTGAAACCATGAAGGAAGTTTTACAATTGTCGGAGCTAAAGAGGACGATATCCACAGTCTAGTAAAACCAAAAAGTTATTTTGAACTCAATCTAATCTTAAAGCAAACCAGGACGTTGATGCCAAAAAAGAAAAAAGGAAGCTGTTTTGAATTGGCTCCTCCTATAATATGGTGCTGAAGTTAGTCTTGTGACATATGTTAGACGCGCTATTTTCCTATTACCATCGGTGACAAAGCAAGAAAAGAAGGCGGTCGACAAGCACACACGGACGGAAGCCAGTGCTTTTTCAGCATTTGCCATTATTCCTATAGTAGACTTTGAAATAAAAAATGACACAAGTAAGCAAGCCTTGTAAGTACCTTCGTTGATAGATGGATCTTAGCCAATCATTTATGGAATACATTTGACGCGAAAGAGCTAAAGGAAATACTTCAATACCTAACGCGATTCGCAAGGTATTATTATACACAAAGAGGATTAGTCTGTTGGTACTTGCTTTTCGCGGAATTAGAAATTCAAGTCATGCACACTCCGTGAGGCGCACAAAATGGCTAGTGAAAAAGTGCGTCTTTCCATTGTTAACTCTCTGCGCGCTTCTTTAGTTCTTACTTCCTTTCCTTTCCAGGCCAGTCGCCCAAAGTGGACTGTACAGAAGAGAGATAGGTTATGATGTTCTTAATATGCTCTTAATTCTCATTTATCTCTGCCTAAACGGTCAAAAAGGGTCCTTATTAAAAATATAGGTAATTCTACCAAATTGCACCGTATAAATTGCATACGATAAATTCATTTCTTGTTGAAACGTTAAAAAAAGCTCAACAATGGTTATTATTTATTTATTCATTCCAATAGGGTTAAAAGCGATCTAAGCCCCAAAACATCAGTTGTTGTGAAAACCAGGAGGAAATCCTTGATTGACATATATCCGTGATTGATTGCAGGGTCTACTGTGGTTACTATTTACTGATTCACAAGCTGTAAGGGACGAGTAGACTCTTTCACTTTGTGTCTGGAATAAATGAAAGAAAGAATTAGTTAGAAAAGGAAACTAAAAGAATAAATAATTACCAGATTAATAGTCATGCTGTCAGACGCCAGCCCCGAA